ATAAGGAAACACCTCATGTTATCCTATACACTGAAATTAATACTATTCCCTTCTAAAGCATGCCAGAACCCCAAGTTTTCTCTCTCTTAAAGTATACATTAGCTGAAATTCTAGAAAACAAAGCAATTTTATTAAAAGCAATACCTTTTTATAATGGGCATGGCTTTCAAGTAATCTGAAAGTTCTTAAGATTCTGGCTAAAGAATTTAAGAATTCAGCATAAGCAAATCACCAGAAGAATAGAAAAAAAATCATATAAAAAATAAAGTTTTTGTTACATTCAGCTTCTGGTGGTACTTGATTAGTATATTATGGCACTTGAGTTTTTAAATTATCATTCAAGAAAAATCAATACAAATCATTATAGTTATATTTCCTTCATGGATGCTCACTTCTCATCTGCTTTTCATGAAAAAAAGAAAACTGTCACCAATCCTACCCTTTCCTTGTCTACGACAATGAACAGCTCCACATATCGGGTCTGTGGCAGGACAGCTCTTCTCCTCTGTCAAAAATACAAACATCATGAAGGCAAAAAAAAAGTTATAAGGCTATTAAGGCTATACATTTCTCATATGTAATGATCGCACCCTGATCTCTAGTCACTTATTTCATGTCTGTTAAGAACATCATAAAATTATTTTACTTAACATCTCCTAGATCAATAAAGTCAAAAACATGTTTTATAAAAGTATTATCTATTCAGTGATAAAAACTTTGTCCAGCTATACTACTAACTTTATGTGATCATAAACCATGTCAAAAGAGAAAAATGTTTTTAAAATTAAAAAAAAATGTTTTTAAAGTGTTATCTGCTATCTTCATTGATCTGAGCAAAATTCTAGTTAAAGACAAAATGGGTTAGTAAAGTTTACAAAGCAGAATCACTGACTTTCTAAAATGGAAACTACACACACACACACACACACACACACACACACACACACACACACATCTTAATGGGAAACCCCTTTACTATGTTCATGGACAAAGAAAGAATATCCACTAAAATCCCAGAGCAGAAGTTGGGACAAGGTTGCCACTTTAAAAAATGACTGATTTTGTCATTTTACAGAAATTTATGCAAAGTAGAATAAGCAGAAATTTAAATGTTTTCCAATGTTTGTAGTTAAAAAGAACAATCTAAGAGTCAAAAGAGTAGATAAGAGAGGGAATGAAAACAATGCCATAAATTAGTATGAGCTACTTAAAAATATGCCTCTTCCAACGGAGCAACATCATCTCATATGTAGAAAGGTATATTCCTTGCAGCTGAAGTTAATCTAAATCAATTTCAATGTATGAAATTGAATCTAAGAGATTCAGGTCAAGAGTAAATGAGAGCACTAAAGAAACTGTGAAATAGGGATATGTGTGTGTATCCTTGGAAGACACCTAAAGTAATTAAAGTCTTAAAGCCAAATCTCTCTCTCAATTTCTCCAATCTAGAGCTCAAAAATCACCATTCCAGTTTGAATAAGAGGCATCTAAAATAAAAACTTATTGCTCTCTGAAAGACAATGTGGTGGACTATTATGTAGCAATGCTAAATATTATTACTTTTCAAGATTTAAGCTCTGGTTTCCAAACCCACAGAATCTAAACTGTACTCAACTTGGAAGCAGAAACTCTATATTCCTCATCTTTTTATCTCCTAGTATCTATCACAATGTCCAGAATGTACCTGGTAAAAAAATAAATAAAAACACTAATAACTATTGGTTTAATGAATAAATAAATGATTTTTCTAAAGTTAGTCTGAGCTATGAAGAATTATATTATTTCCTTACTCGAAGTAGCTGAGTCATACTGGGAGGCTCTTTCTCTTCATCCTTTGTGGTTTCTTTCTCTATATCCTTGTTGGAAACTGCACATTTCAGAGGCTCTTTGTGGACATTATCCATTCGATAAACAATATGCTCAAAATGAGAGCTGTTTTGCAGGGGTTCAATTCCATAGCTTGCATTCTCTAAATGCAGCAATCCTCTAAATGTTGCATTACATATATACATTTTTAAAGGAAAGAAAAAATACATAGGTAAAAGAATCAGAAAACCTAAATTCATGTTGTCATTCTTAACATGTGTAAGAAAGGTAGCATGGTATAGAGGAAAACACAGAGGATTTAGAGTCAGGGAAACAACGTGGACCTAAATTTAAAGCTCAAAACTGCTACTTACCAGCATCAGTGCCTGTGAGTCACTCAAGCTCTCTGAGTGATCACTGTAAAATGGAAGGCACTAGTGGCTGAGAAAACTGGGAGCCAAAGGACCAGAGTTTGAGTCTCAAATGTTTTCTACTAGCTGCAAGACTCTTAATAAATTATTTAACTTCTGCCATAGTTTACATTCTGCATAGGATTTTACTGAAAACTAAATTATTTACTAAGCACAAAATACTTAGAATATTGCCTGGCACAGAGTAACTATTCAATAAGTGTTATTATTTAAATGAAGATAATAATAGGCATCTTACATAGTAAGTCTGAGAATTAAAAGTAATATTTATTAGTCCAATCATGCAAATCATGCAATTAACCAACCAACACAGTGCCATAATTGCCAAGCCCTCAATAAATGTAATTTTAACACCATTATAACTTCATTTGATGCATGATGACACATTTTCTCTGAGCCTCAGTTTGCCCACCTAATAGAGATCTAATCAGCCCTTTTTTCACAATCATTATCAGACTTAAATAATACAGGTGAAAATTTTATAAAGTGCTATAAAAATGTAAGGTATACTTTAAATTGCAAAAAATATGTAGTGTTCTCAAAAAATGAAATCTCTTTAGACATTAAAATTCATCAACTATAGTATTTTCCTAAGTAAACATGCCAAGAGTATCTGAAACATAGCTCTAAAGACCTTCAGTAAAATCAAAGTAAAATCCAATTTTGCTAAGTCCCCAAAATGATTTGATTTGGAGACACAAGTAGGAAAGTGGGTAAGAAACAGGGGAAAGGAAAAAAAAAGATAAAGAAAATTTCTTACCTGAGTCCAAAACAGATGCTAAGAGCAATGGATGAATTATAAACTCCCTCCACATAGCCCCGATAATGACAATGATTCTAAACGAAAAACACTGTGTTATCTTTGAATACTGCTACATTGCTGAAAATCATCATAGAAATTGCAGAGCTAAGAAAACTATGTGAGGCCAGTAAACTAAGAAATTTTATTTATATTATTGGCATGTCATAGTATCACATGGCATTCTTCAGACTACCTGCAGACTATCTACTAACACCCTCCACATACAAATGTTTAGGCAGAATTCCAGAGGATACAAGGCACAAACAGTTCCACCTCAATGACTTTTCAGCATTATCTCATATTTAACATTTTAAATCACAGTCAATCCAAGGAGCAACAGCAGCCAACTGACTTCAAATATAGTAAAGGACACTGTGAGAGTCTGATAGCCCAAAGGGGGAAAAAGTGATTTTGATTAGATAATTGTCTTTCTTCCTACAGGTGTATTTATTTTATTATTATTATTAGTTACAATTTAGCCATCTTCAAAAACTTAAGAGCCTTTATCCTTAATTTTGAGCAAGAAATTCAATGGAACTACAAGGATAATATCACTTAGTAATACCAAACTCTTTAGTACCTAATGAGATTTTCTCATCTTTAAAACAATTTCAAAGCACTAAAACAGAAAAACCAGGGGGCAGGGAGCATTAGCCTTACTAAACATTAAGACACATCACGTATCACAAGGCCTTGATAATTAAAGCAGTATGGGACCAGTGCATTAAGAGAGAGACAGACCAACCAGTGGAACAGAACAGAAAGTCTCTCAACAGACCAAAGTACATATGGAACTTTATATGATAAAAGTGGCATCTCAAGTCACTGAAGCAAAGATGTACTTTTTTTTCCATTTTTTTTATTATTAATAAACCTGCCTGACAAGAAAAGGCTGCACTTTTTAACAAATGCTGCTCAGTCCACTGGTTAAACATTTGAAAAGGAAAATCCATTCATACCTCACACTATATGATATGAATAAACCCCAAATGAATCAAAAATCTAAACACAAAAATTAAAACCATACAAGAACCATAAGAAAAGATGGGTCAATTCCTCTTTAACCTGGGTGTTGAGAAAGACCACTCAAAATGTAGAGATTATTCAAGATGTAGATGTAATAAAAGATTGATAATTTTAACTATATAAAAAAATTATCTGTCAGATACCATTTCCCATGTTAGAGATCCAAAAAGAAAAATAAAAGAAATAAAAAAAAAAATTTATCTGGCCGGGCACAGTGGCTCACACCTGTAATCCTAGCACTTGGGAAGGCGAGCGGCAGATTGCTCAAGGTCAGGAGTTCGAAACCAGCCTGAGCAAGAGCGAGACCCCATCTCTACTATAAATAGAAAGAAATTAATTGGCCAACTAAAAATATATAGAAAAAATTAGCTGGGCATGGTGGTGCATATCTGTACTCCCAGCTACTCGGGAGGCTGAGGCAGGAGGATCGCCTCAGCCAGGTTGAGGTGCTGTGAGCTAGGCTGACACCACAGCACTCTAGCCCAGGCGATAGAGCAAGACTCTGTCTCAAAAAAAAAAAAATTATCTAAGCTTCTACATGGAAAGAAACACCAAAAAAAAAAGTCAAAACACAACTGATAGACTGGAAGAAAATATTTGTAACTTACATCATAGGTAAAGGGTTAATATTCCTAAATAAAACGAACTCTTAAAAATTGAGGGGAAAAGATTAAAAACCTCAATAGAAAAGTAAGCAAAAGACATGAACAAGACAACTCACAAAAGAAGATATAAAAATGCCCTTACATATATGAAAAGATTTTTAATCTCACTCATGATAAAATCAGAATCCATGAGTCCATATTGATATAAATAAATAGAAAACTTCCTTGTAGTAGAAAGCACTAATGAATGTAGATGCACTGATAAAATTAGAAAATTACCATTTGACAACCATCATAATAACAATTGATTCATGCAAACACTAAGTCCTACAACTAGTGGGTAAAAATTAGAGGAGTAATAGGATATTTACATAGTCTCAAAGTATCTAACCATAACATTAATTTAAAAGGTGAAAACAGTACATTTCCAGGGGAGAAACCTGGCAGACAACTCAAATAGTCAATGTTAACACTGCTAACTAATAGGACTAATTGACAGCATATGCTTACTGATAGGACACACAGAGAACAATTTAGTATCACTTCAGGGTGTTCCTACCAAACATGCATACCCTGAATATGATCATGAGTAAACATCGAACAAACCCACACTGCAGGACATTCTACAAAGAGCTGGGCTGTACTCTTCAAAAATGTCAGTGTCATGAAATACAAGGTACGACTAAGGACTCCAGATTTAAATGAGACTAAAAAGACACATCCACTGAATGCAACACATAAATTCAGATTTTCTTTTGCTATAACAGACATTTAGGATAACTGACCCAGAAAAAAAATCTCAAGAAGATCTATAAAATAGTACTGTTTAAACATTGATTTATTAATTTTGAGTACTATGTTTACATAAGAGAAATCCTTGTTTTAGGAAATTTACACTGAAGTATTTAAGAATAAAAAATAAAAAAACACCATGTCTGGAAACATGCTCTTAACGGTTCAGAAAAAAAATAGAGGAGGAAGAAAGGATAAAGCAAACAGTAAAATATTAACATTTGGAGACTCTAGGTTGAAAGGTCTCTATGAATTTTTTGTATTATTCATGTAACTTTCTCTATAAGTATAAAATTCTGAAAAAAATTAAGTTCTTTTAACAATTATACACTAAACACCACAAACCAAAATACAACTTTCTCTAGTGTTTGGCAATTCACAACCACTAATTTTTTCTTCCTACTGTTTTGTAGTTAAAGTCTAGCTTTGATATTTCCTTCTTCTTACTAGAGGAAAATAAATACCTTCCACAAGTACAGATGAGGTAACAACTACAAGATAGTAATAGTGTAACTTATAACACTCAAAACATTAGTAGTTTTAACTATAAGAGAAGCTCTCTCAGCTAAGCTGACAGACATCCAGCAGGTGACCACTTAATCTACCAACTTGGTAATTTTTTAATAACTTGCTTTTATGAAATACTTCCATAGCATTACATTTAGTTCTCAAAAGAAAAACAACAAATCATAATTTGTAAGTTTTTACAAAACATCTAATTAAATTGCATGACCACAATAAAGTTGCCACTGGAATAAAGTTTTGAAAACACATAAACCATAAGCAAAAAATTTCAGCCAGTGTGTGCAGAAGTGCACAGAACTGCTAGAAAACAGCCTAGTAGCCACAAAGATCCAGTGAGCCCTGGATAGTCAATGTTTTCAAAGGAAACGAAGGATATCAATTAACTAGGGGAATTAGTGGAGAGAATTTCTAATGCATTTGCAAGACACCCCAAAGTTCTAAGACATAGTAATTTGGAGTTTTATTTCACAGAGCAACTCAGGTTTAATAGTTTTTCAAAAACATTGTTTCTTTGTGAAAAATGGCCTGTGAAAGACACTGATGATGAAAGTCAGATAATTGCTTTATAAATTACTTTAATCTTAAGCAATAGAATCCCAAAAGAAAGCATTTAAATTTTCTCAGTGTAACTTAATTCCATTTTATGGACAAAAGTATATCTAATTATGATATTTGACAATCTATCCATAAACAAAAAAAAATCCCTGTATCAAAGTTTTAATTTGTATTCAAAGCTATAATCACACTTTCATATACCTGAACAATATTAAATAACAAAGAAATAAGTGAAAGACTCCATCATAGTTGATATTTTTTAAAACGCCTAGGAAAGCATAACAAGTCTACAGTACTTCAACAGTTAATATAAAATTCTGTTTAACTGAAATCTACTTTTTGTAGTTTTAAGTACACATGCTTTCAATAATAGTAGCAAATAATAATATTTAGAGTTAAAAGTTGTCAGACCGACTGTTCTAAGCACCTTACAAGTATTAACTTGTTTAAGCTTCCCAATAATTCCATGAAGTGTGACTATTATTCCCATTTTAAAGTGAGGATGCTAAGGTACAGTTTAAAGTAACTTCATCAGCAAATTATGACAGAGCCAGAATTCAAACCCAAACAGTGTATGTCTCAAGAAAGTATGCTAAGAAACTTCTATAAGAAAAGTCTTTTAAGATTACTGCTTAAAAAAAAAAGATTGCTTTTGTCAGGTGGTACAAATTATGTGCTCTTTGGCCTCCTGTCTTAATATCTTTGGATGAATGATTGGATGGATAGATTATTTTTATTTGGTTTATGCTATAATGTAAACTTATACTCTCTACTGGACAATGGACAATCAGTGCACTAAGATAAAGGAATCAAATAGTGGACCAGAAAAGAATAGTGCTAAATCAGCATTTCCTTATTTTTTTTAAAGTACTAATAATAATCTAAAATATAGATCTTGCCTTCTCCCTCCTTGAAAAATGTTGAAAAAGTACATAACTAACATAAAAAATTCAACCTAGCAAAAGCATCACACAAAAAAATAACACATTTAATCAGGAAAAAGATTTATGAAAACTATTGCAAAAGAAAAAAATGTCTAATGCCTAACTGCCAAAAAGGTCTGTAAAACACTCTTCCAGAACAAAGCTAGAAAAGTTTATGCTCTAAGTAAAAAACACATAAAGCCAAATTTGATAAATGTCAATTATTTTGAGTATTCTGGCCAATTCTGTTCCCAGGAGTACTCTGTTCTCTGATGCAGAGAGCACCACACCTCCTTAGGAACAAATTGTTTTCAGTGAAAAATTAAAACACTAGAACATATCACAGCAAATCAGTGTTTTTCTTTACTAAACGCTAATGATAAATCAAATGTTTTAATAAGAAAGATGTGCTTTTACAGATATTAACTTTTGACCAAAAAAATCAAAAACCTATCAAACTTTTTTCCATCATAATCAGTAAAGATTATAATTAAACAGAAAATTATTTTCCTACTCGTTTAAAAAAAAAAAAAAAAACTTTAACTACTGAGTACCTGGAGAGCGGTGAGGTATAGCGCAGTGTATGTAAACACACCCACTTCTCTCAGGACAATTCACATATTATAACGTTAGTTCGTTAAAGGTGCCCCATGGGGCTGTGCCATGTAATAGTTCTGAGGCCTAAATATAACTAACTCATTTTAAAATTACACTTATTTTAAATTTTGCTATAGGATCAAGAGGAAAATATTTTACCTGTATATTGGGATAGTCAGAGAGCAGAGCCCCTTCCTTGTTGTAGGTATAAACTACAAAATCTTTAGGCAAAAGGTTTCTGGAAGAGGAATAAAAACACCATTTAAATTTATTTTACCTAACTGCAATTAAATACATTATTTCTAGAAGAAATGAGAAGGAAAAAATAAAAACTTTTACCTGATAAATTATTATTTAAAGAACATGCTTCTGTAACCCTAAAAGTTCATAAAGATTTGAATCTAAAGTAGTATGTATGACTTACTCATATTGTTCTGCTATACATTTGTTCTAATAGTCATAAAGACAAAATAAGTAATGTCCTTAAATTTTTCTGATACAACTCACAAGAACAGTATAAATTAGGTTATTGATAGTATATCATATTTACAGAAGAAAAGTAAATTTTTTACATTCTTTTCTAAAAATCCTATATAATTAAAAAGCATTCACAGCCTTAACCTCCTAAGCATGGAGACAAAATGCTATATCAGTTGTTGGAGGAAACAATTATTCCTGATCCCCAAAACTTCATTCCATGTTAAGGAATCTCAACAGTACAAAACATGTATGTAAGGATAGAGTTATCTGACAGCAGGACAAGTCAGGTATGCACTGTACTAACTAGTAATTTATAATGTGCCACACTTAAAGTTGAAAACTCTCCTGGAAGTCAGCCTGTCTCTATTGTTTAGAAATAAATAAATGAATGGTTTTCATCTGGTTTAATCTGTTAAACAGCATGACCTGAGCCACACAACCAGAATAGCATAAAAAACCCCTTTGGTAAGCCCCTTATGCCTGGGATTCCCTGAAAATACAATGCAGCACACATATCTCAGTGGTTTGTATCTGGAGACAAAGCCCATCTGTGTAAATGAGAAAGGACCCTTGGGACCATGCCATGATGACTACCTGCCCTTTCTTTGTCCTGATGTTCTGTATGCTTTATCTTTATTAAAATCTGTAAGAGTAGACTTGGCAGTAGCCTGTGGAATCTTGAGTCCTTCCAATAATCCCACCTTGCTCAGTCCTTGCAGGTGCCCATCCAACCCCCTCCCCTAACACCTGCATACCCTGTGCTCCCTCTAGGGGTGAACGTGAGAAGAACAAACTGGAGATGCCCAGCTTTGCTCGGCCCTCTTTCCTCTGTGGAAGTCGCCGCCTGCCCAGCCAGAATACAGATTCTACTATGCTCCTCCACCTGCCACTGTCCAGCACTGACACACATGGCTCATGCTCCTGATACCACGGTTCAGGATCTACCAAACAATATCTAACTAGAAAAGAAATCGATATACTATTGAAAAAGTTTTACTGAAAACCCAAAGTAAATTAAATTTCTTACTTGTTCCTTTCCAAGTGAATAATATGCTCTTTTCCTTCAGCCTGAATGACATAAGACACCTAAATACACAAAGGAGAAAAGAACAATAAAACACCATCGTATAAATTACTTTTGAACAACATATGACTTATCAGACACAGGAAATTCCAACCAGAATTAAAATAATTTGGTACTGACTGAATTGGGGTTTTTTTTCCTTTTTTTTTTTTTTCTTGAGACAGTCTCACTCTGTTGCCCTTGCTAGAGTGCCCTGGCATCAGCCTAGATCACAGCAACCTCAAACTCCTGGGCTCAAGCAATCCTCCTGCCTCAGCCTCCCGGGTAGCTGGGACTACAGGCACGCACCACCATGCCCGGCTAATTTTTGGTCAATTAATTTCTTTCTATTTTTAGTAGAGACGGGGTCTCACTCTTGCTCTGGCTGGTTTCGAACTCTTGACCTTGAGCAATCTGCCCACCTTGGCCTCCCAGAATGCTAGGATTACAGGTGTGAGCCACCACTCCAACCCTGACTGAATTGTTTCATAGAAGAACTTTGTGTCTATTCTTAAATAAAAAACATATCCTGATTATCCCTTCCTTTAATAACTAAATAATCATGGGAAATCACCTGCATGTCTACATGTTTAAACTCTTCTTAAATTCATTTATAATTCAGCTATTTCTGCAAGGATTTTTTTTTCAAATCCATCCATATACTACTACTACTACCTACAGTATAAAGTGGCTCTTGCTTTTGTTTAAATAAAATAAACATCTCGATTCCAACAGATTATCCCTAACTCTAGTTATCCAAAAGTTGAAAAGAAATTCATACTTTTTCATGACTATAAAGTCATGAAATATCTTTACATGGCTTACTTCATTTCATGAATTCTAAAACATACTTTTTTCCCCTTCATATTAACATCTCTGAAATCACAACCAGCTTTATAAGCAGCAAAACTTTTTTTATAGTTTGGGTTTTCTTTTGTTTTGGTTTAGTTTTTTTGTAGTTCTCTTATGTTTCAAATTCCCAGACCAGTAAGATTTCCTGACCAGAACACTGTAACTTTCTGGTGCATTGATGCATTCCCTTTTGGGTTTCTTTCCCAGAAACGGCAAGCCTCCTTGCAGCCACGAGATAACTACAAAGCTTTACACCATCTGTTTGTCCAGAGAAGACAAGATAAGCAACACCCACCACAGATCTTGCCCAAGGACCCACTGAGCAGCCCATTCTCTGCATCCCACCTGTGCAAAAAGCTGAAAGAATGACCAATATTAACCCCTAGCTCATTATACTACTAAAATCTCCACCCTGAGAGGGATTTATCTGCCATTTTCTGATCATGGACTAGTATGTACTAGCATGATTTCTCACTGTACTTTTATGCCCTGCACTCCATGCCAAACATGTAATGAGGCTCACTCCCCTCATGCATTATTCACTTCACCTCCAGAAAACCCCCAACCCTGTTGGACGGGGAGGCAGATTTGAGGCAGTCCATACCTCTCACCTCCCAGTTCACACATGTCCTGAAATAAATCCTTTCTTCTGTGACAATCCTCATTGTTTCAGTAACTGGCTTTCTGTGCAGCGAGCACCACTGAACTCCCTTCGTGGGTTCATTAACAAAATGAAGATACATCATACAAAGACATAGCAGTCTAACTGGCAGACTTCTATCTCTTTCTTTATTAGTGGTACATAAAATAATATAGTGTTTCTTAAAATTGATGGCATCTTAGAGTCAATGAAGTAAGATAAGGAAACTTACACTTACACATCCTCAAGTTCAGGAAATCCTCTTCTCTACCTCAAACAACTTTGAAACAACTTCCCCAGAAACTCACCATTTGGTTAGCAGAAGTGCTTAATGTCACCGATAGAATCAGGAGATTCAACTTTGCCTAAACTCTTTAATAAAAAAGAAACTCATGGAGGGACTCAAACAAATATAATATCAGAAGTGTCTACTTCACTTTTCCTACTGTTTCCAGACGCTAAGTTAACATTCTGCCAAAAAACAGCCCACCAATCTCTGGCTCCTAAGGATTAGATCAGCTTCTGGACCCTGCCTTTCCACTTCCGCGTGCTGTGTGGGAGTCTGAGAACTCTTTGTTACCCACCTCAGGCTCCACTGAAACATCAAAAATGCCAAGCTTCTCACATCGCCACAGCTTGGCATGTGCCCTTCTACCCTTGCTGCTCTCGGACAATCCTATGATGTAAAGCACATCACTGCCACCTCTACCAAGAAGAAATTTTGGGAGACTGAGAATTGTTTTGTGAAACTTATATTCTTCCCCTAAACATCTGTCTGGATTGCCCACTCCTTTTCTTAAGTAAAGAGGTGAACTCTTCACTCAAGGTTCACCTCCTCAGTAAGGCCTTCCCTGGCCATCCTATTGAAAAATGCAAACCCCCTTACTTTACCACTTCCAGCTCTCCCTATCCTACTTCCTGCTTTAATTTTCTCCATAGCACTTACCACCATGGTAAGTAATACAGATTGTTTACTTGTTTATTGTCTCTCTCTCCCCTCAACTAGAATGGAAGTTCCATAAGGGCATGAAATTTTGTCTGTTTTATTCACTGCCATATCCCCAATGCCTAAACAGTGCTTAGCTTATAGCAGTCACTCACTACCTTTGAATGTGTAAATTACACTGATAAGTTGAATAAGCAAAATCCAGTTCAGAATGTGCTGACCATACCACTTCTGCAAATATTTATCAAAGCATATGTGACAGTTATTTATTATAATCACAACAACTATCAATGTGTGCAGTACTGAAGATACTTTCAGAGACACAATAAAATAGAAAACACAGTCCCTGTGCTAAAAAAAAATCCACCATCTAGTGAACAAAGGAGAAAAACAATGAAGCAAGCAGGGAATAATTCTATTCTAAGGCAAAACATAATCAAATGTCCAGTTCGTACACAAGAAAAAAATTCTAAATTTTTCTACTAGATGGAGATATTAAAGGCATTTATTCCTCACTTACAGAAAAGTAAATGGAGTTGAACAACCAACCCAACTAGTGATAGCACCCAGGAGAAAGACTAAAACTAAAAGCTCCTGATTCTAAACACTCCTAGTGTTGCTTTGACCATGCTCAGTTCCTAAACAACATGCAAACTGCCTTACTTTTCTGAGTATATCAGCAATTCAGAGGTAATATGCTAAATTCCATCCTTCATTATGTTAAATTACAATAAAATTAAACTTTACTTCTATGAAGTTGAGGGGTTTGCAAAATCAGCTGAAGTCCAAACACATAATTTCTGAAAAAACTTTACAATAAGAGAAAACAGTAAAAAATATAATTTTTGTGCATTAGTTACCCTGTTAACAACACAGGTTTCTTCCAATATGGAACTACAACTCATTTTTAATTAAATATTCCCAAATATGAAATATATGCATATAACACATTATCATTCTCTGGTGTCAGTGAAGATTTACAGTATGAAGTATTGTATCACAAACTGGACTGAAGTTAGTTCTTATGATAATAAAACCACTGCAATCATTGCAGTCAGTTAAGGGTTAGAAATTTATGTAGTCTGCATCTTACCTTAGTTATAGAATTCTATTTAACCATTTCATTCCCTTATGCTTCAAGTTGATCATTTTGTCTTTTAAAAAAAATACTAAGGCTCAATATGTTGCTTTTGCTAGCACAATGTCCAGTGAACATCAGTACCATACAGTGCTATAATAAGTAATGGCCACTAATTACTCCCTGAACCAATCACTGCTGCAAATAACACCTTTGTGTTAAAAAAAATAAAAAGGAGAAAAGTTAAATAATGCATATTTCTTAAGAGATAACTTACCTGTTTTGAATTGGGCCTAGGGGCTTCTCTTCGTTCTCTAGTTAATCTCCAAGGAGTTATAATTTCATAAGAAGAGAGATGAGAGGTCTGCTGAAAGCCTACAGAAGAGGGAATAACAAATTGATACAACAAGCAGAACTGAAAAACTATATGGGGCCAAGACACAATGAACATCAAAAGCTGAATGTTCAAATCACAGAAAAATCATGACATCCCCATATTAAAACATACATATAAAACAAATAGTATTATATAAAATTTTGCATGAAAATAGCAATGTATTAAATAAGTATGAGGGGGAAAAAATATTTCCTAAAAAATGGGTGCCAGCTTTTATCCAAACAATATATAAGTGGCAATTATTTTCAAACATTTTTTAGCTATAAACACTAACCATTCTTCTCGAAAGAAATCTTAAGGTATAAACACACACAAAAAAAGGAGGATTGATTTGGTGGGAAAATGGGGGAAGGCATCCTAGAACCTAGCGCCCCTCACTCACCCCTCTTTTCCTACCTTCACCCATCATGATGACATCCCCTGAGATGATACTGCTATTAATAAATACTTAACTGTTGCAGTTTGGATGTCTGACCTCTCCAAATCTCACAGTGAAATTTAATCCCTGGTGTGGTGGTGGTGGGAGGTGGGGTGTAGTGGGAGGTACTCGGGTAATGGGGGCAAATCCTTCATGAACAGATTAATATCCTTTCTGGAAGTGGTTGGAGGTGTGGTCAGCGAGTTCTCCTCTATTTAGTTCCCAGCAGAGCTGGTTGTGAAAAAAGAGCTGGCATTTCCCTCCCCTCTCTCTTGCTTCCTGTCTCTTGCCATATGATCTCTGCACGGGCCTCCCCTTCACCTTCTGCCATGAGTAGAAGTAGCCAAAGCGCTCACAGGAAGCAGGTGCCTGCTCCATGCTTCTCGCACAGCCTACAGAACTGCAAGCCAAACAAGTATTCTCTGTAAATGACCCAGCCTCAGGCATTCCTTTAAAGTAACACAAATGGACTAAAACTTTACTAGATGGACAAGGACAGTAAGTGGGAAAAGTTACTTTTAATATCTGATGGGTTAACTCTAATAAATATACACACAACAATGTAGCAACTGTCTCAGAGGAAATTACTGCCATTAATCCGTCTTAAAAACAAAAACCTTTGTACAAAATTTAACAGTTAAGAACTCAAAACAGTCATGCAGACTTACTCCCACTTCCAATCTTATTTAGTTATTTCTTGGGCAGAACTTGGTTTCTAAAGTCCTCACTTGAATAAAAATGATCATAATCAAAATTGCCAACCCAATCTCTTTTCTTACAGCATCATTATCAATGGCATCACAATTCTTTCAGTAAACCTAAAGTAGATAATCACCATCTAAGGACTCCAGAGGAAAAATCCACATCTCTATATGCCCCTCTCCTAACACCGCATTCAGTATGAAGAGGCTTGCGAACAGCAATACACGAACTGAAAGCTGACAAAGAGCAGAGTCACATCTGCCACTCAGACTCATCAACAAATGCCAAGAAAAGGGGGAAGAGGGACTTTCATAAATTAAAAGAGCCTTACCACCAAATGTCCTGCATGGACCTGTTTGGATTCTAGTTCAAATAAATCAACTGAAAAAATTCCGAAACAATCAGGGAAATTTTTACATTGAGTAGATATTTGACGATCTTGAGGAATTATTATTATTTTAAAAACTTACTTTTTAAGTGTAATAAGCATATTGTGGGTAAGGCTTTGTGTCCTTATGTCTTAGAGATTCATGCTGAATATTCAATGACAAAATGATATGATGTCTATGGTTTGCATTAAAATAATTCAGTGTATATTTGAGGGAGGAACACATATGAAATAAGATTAAAACTGGATAATGAGCACACACAAATTCATTACTCTTCTCTTTACTCTTGTGTATATTTAAAAATTTCTCTAATAAAATAATTATTTTTAAGTGGTTACCTACAGGGAGTGGGATGAGAGAGAGACTTATACTTGTCACTTTATATAAACCTGTATTATAGTATTCATGAAATACTGTTTCATATAACATATATAAGATTATAAAATGTAATAACATGTAAATATCATAAATTAACATACTAAACTGTTTAAAGTAGTTGCTATGATGGAGTAGAACCAGGAAGTAATGAGAAAAGGACTTGGACTTTTTACCTCCTATACTTCTCTATTTCTGTATTGTTTGAATTTGTTTTTATGAGTATTTTGCCACCACTGAATTACTTTTCAAATTAAAAAAGCAAAAAAAAGAGTTTTTTCCTTGCTAAAAATAGCATAAACTTTTTATAACTTTTTTTTTTTTTTTGAAATAGAGTCTCACTCTGTTGCCTTGGCTAGAGTCGTGCGTCAGCCTAGCTCACAGCAACCTCAAACTCCTGGCTCAAGCAATCCTCCTGCCTCAGCTCCCGAGTAGCTGGGAACAGACATGCGCCACTATGCCGGTAATTTTCTATATATATTTTTAGTTGGCAATTAATTTCTTTCTATTTTTTAGTAGAGACGGTCTCCTCTTGCTCAGCTATTTTCAAACTCCTTATCTTGAGCGATCTGCCCACCTTGGCCTCCCAGAGTGCTAGGATTACAGGCTTGAGCCACACCCGGCCAGCATAAACTATTTTAAAAGTACTGATTATCTAGCCTGTCTTCCAAGGATTCCCTCCTTTCCATCAGCCTTATTAACCTTACGTCTAGATTACTATGACTCCTTTTCACCTGGTCTCCCTACTCACCACACTCCTCCTTTGATCCAATCTATATGTTCATTCATCCATTAATTTATTTCCTTTATACCCCTCGGATTTCTCAAATACAGATTAAGATGGATTATTTACATCTAACTTTTCCCAAAATAACACTGTATATAAAAACATTTATAACCTTGTCTGGTTTGAGACTAAAAGATACAAACAGAAAAACATAAATTACATTATATCCAATACAATACATGTCATACAACGGTTTTCAAACTCTGCCCATCAACCTCTTATACCTCATAATATGGTATGATACCGTTTAAATGTGGCTTCACGCCATTATGTAGCACACCAGAAATGGGCTCTGATACTTGACGAGGCACCTACAGGCTGATACAAAGCATATTTATGACATACCGGAATCAACTGTCATTCAGATATTTAGACTTGTCAACTTGAAACCATGTCAAAAGAAATGCATGGCCTTGATAGATACAGGCTTCAGTTCATTAGGCAGAATATCCTTAATCCTAAACTAATGGAGGTATGGGACTATTTCCTTACCCAAAATAAACCTTTCGATGACTTTCAGTTTTCTCAAATTTCTAAAAACATGAGCTTAAATATTATACTTAATGATAATAATTCATTCTGAATTATGTAATTGTTCGACTACTAGAACACTCTAAAAACAGTGGCAAGAATAGACAAAATGATTTCAGTGGACAAACGATTAGAAGCTAAGTGTGATAAAAGTAAATCAGCCAGATGGGTGGCTCAGGCCTTAATCCTAGCACTCTGGGAGGCCAAGGCAGGAGGACTGGTTGAGGTCAGGAGTCCAAGACCAGTCTGAGCAAGAGCGAGACCGTCTCTAAAAATAGAAAAATTAGTCGGCATGGTCCCAGCTACTCGGGAGGCTGAGCCAGGAGGATTGCTTGGGCCAGAGTTTCAGGTTGCAGTGAATAGTCCGGGCAATGTAGTGAGACCCCGTCAAAGAAAAACAAAAGTAAATCATGCTCTACCTTTCTTTGAACTTCTTGTGACTCTATAATTATTTCAAAATAAAAAGTTTCTTTAAGTAAACCATTACAGACAAGGATATATATGCTAATAGGCACAGACAGCTGCTATACTAGAAGCTAAACAATATATAACCGAACTGAAATTTTTCCATCACGACTCAAAAGCAAACATCACAGAAAAAAGAAATGCCTCACAAAAGAAAACATCTGTAGTTCTCATGGGCAGTTGGTTATAAAAGAGTTCTCATCTTCAAACAGGTTAAGTAACTCTATAAGGTCACACACCTAGTTTCAGGGCAGGACTCAAAAGCAAGTCTTTGGTCTCCTATGACTCTTTTACCCAGATTGCCAGTGAAGAAGAATAAAAACCAAATACAAGAGTATAAGATACAACTTTCTTTCCTTCTGTCCCATTTTTTTTTATTTTATTTATTATTTTTTTTTTGAGACAGAGTCTCATTCTGTTGCCCAGACTAGAGTGAGTGCCGTGGCGTCAGCCTGCCTCATAGCAATCTCAAACTCCTGGGCTCAAGCAATCCTCCTGCCTCAGCCTCCTAGTAGCTGGGACTACAGGCATGGGCCACCATGCCCGGCTTATATATTAGTTGGCCAATTAATTTCTTTCTATTTATAGTAGAGACGGGGTCTCGCTCTTGCTCAGGCTGGTTTTGAACTCCTGACCTTGAGCAATCCGCCCACCTTGGCCTCCCAGAGAGCTAGAATTACAGGCGTGAGCCACCGTGGCCGGCTTCCTTCTGTCCCATTTTAAAACACAATTCTCATTTTGAGAACCAAATGCCACAATAAATTGTTTATTGTAAAAAGGCTTTCAAAATTATAGCAACCTAAAATAACTTCCATATGCTAGAGCTGTTATTCTGATACTGACTTCCTCCTTTTAAAATCCAAGAATCAAGAGCCTGGATACCTCAATAGGTAGAGCATCAAACTTTTAAAATCCAAGAATCTATTTTCTGAATGAAAGCCATGCCATAGTTCCAAAACAGCATAACAAATGCACATATTTGGGGAATGCCATTCAAAAACAATACATACTAACTGTATGAATACCCTCCTCCCTAATTATTTTTTTCAAAATTCCTTGCTTTTCTCCATTTCTGGCTTCTTTTTTCCTGTTCATATCCTACATGGATATTTCCCAAATTCCTTTTAGTTTTTTTTTTTAATTCCAAATAGCAGCATCCAGGCCAGGCACAGTGGCTCACACCTGTAATCCTAGCACTCTGGGAGGCTGAGGCGGGAGGATCACTCAAGGTCAGGAGTTCAAAACAAATAGTAGCACCTTCTCGTGGAAATCAAAAAAACATTTTTTCCATGTTACTTAATATAAAAGAAGTACATTAACATTATTCCTATAAAGCTTCAGCCTCAGCACTACTGACATTTTTGGCCAGAAAACTCTCTGTGGTAGAGGGCCATCCTGTACATCATAGGATGTTTAGCAGCATCCCTGGCCTCTACCAGCTAGATGCCAACAGCATCCCCAGAGGCAACAACTAAAATTATTTCCCCCATTTTGGGGACAAAGTTCCCCCAGTTAAAACCACTGGTATAAAGATATAATTCACAATGAAAATAAAAATCTTAATACAATCTACTCTGCAAGGAATACAAACTACTATATTAGAATTTGACAGAAAAAGCATACTGTCACAATCACAGTACTAGAAAACATGAGCTGAAAACAAAACAAAAAGAGTTGAAACATGAAAGTTAAAGTGTCCTAAATTTAGTAAAAGAAAAGTGTTAGTTGCACTCCTTTTTTCCTCTAACTCCTTAAATCTTTCTATGCACAATACTGCATTTTAGAGGAAGTCTAAGTACATTTTTCATAACAGTAACTGTAAGTAGAAGGAAATAAGTTAAAAGAATTCTACCTAATTGCAAAGCAAACATATGTGAACTCCAAACCCTGGGCCTTTCTCCTTTCCTTCCTGCCCATTATGTAAACAAATAGCCACCTTCAAGTTACTTTCACTGCAGAAAATAAACCCTGGACTCCACATTCTGAATGAGTAAGATAATCCTGTTGTCCGAAGTATTTCTTGAAGAGAAATTCTTGTAATCAGATCCATAAAGCACTGTTATTTTGAGCTACATATTTTCAGTCTAGTATTCACAAATTCAATCCCAAATAAACACATATCACATAATAATAACTACCTTCAAACACAATAATATCTACTGCTATGTCCTACCTACAACGTGACATTTGTTGTGTGTCATAATTTTTTCTTATATTTATCCATCTTGACATTTAAAAACAAACAGCTTTTGTTTGAAGTGTCCCTTTGAGAAAACACCAGCCATTTATAAAATTTAATGCCTTCGAGAATTTAAGTTCCTCCAGCAAGGAATTTAAGTTCCTCAAGACCAAAGACTTATTTATCTTTTTTACAAATCCACATAGCCCACACATTTCATCATTTTAATAGCAATAACGTACGTCACTGTATTGCTATGCCACAGACTGCTTCACCACTTCTCTCAAGCAGCTGAGACAGGAGCTCAGGCCCTACTTAAAAACCTTCACTGCCCAAAGAACTTCCTACAGAGTAAAGTCGAAACCCCACAGCCTGGCATAGAAGGCTCTCCCCAGGTCATACCAACCTACCTTACTTAGTTTTATCTTCTATCCCTCCCTTTCATATAGACTGCCTGAAGTCATACTGACATTCTCATTAAATCAAATTCACAATAGGATTTCAAAGTGTCAGTGAGGCTAATCGGAAGGAAGCTCATCAGGGATCTATTTGCATGAGGGTGCTAAGGAGCTACTAAAGGGAAGGGGGAAAATCATCCTAAAATGAGTTATATAATAAAAATCTCATTAAAAGAAAAATGCATCAAAGGGAAAGGGGCATTTCCCATATACAGGAATGGGGTTTGCCCTATTATACACCCATTTGTTTGGTGGTGATAACATTTGCTTTATTTATATTAATAATAAGTTGTAATACCCTAATTTTTATGTTAATATAAACAAATACAAATCTAAAAACAACTATATATTTAAAAGCTGAACAAATGAAGGTAACGTCTCAGGTTCCCTAACTCACTCTTAAAAGATGTGATTCAAGGAATGTCCCACATATGATCACTTTGGAAAAATGATCTGACCAACAACATTGCGCAATTCAACTTTAGTTTGGTCCACCTTGTATCATTTAAAGGGAATGAGGGATTCGTTCCTGAGATACTAAGAGGACTATATTCATTTGAGGCAGTCTCATAAGTGACTGAAAGAATGGCTTAACTACAAGCCTCCAGTATATAGGAGGCATCAAAGAGAAAAAAAATATCATGAGGCTATCTATGTCATATGTTTGAGCTTGGAGATATTTCGAGAAAATCTTCCAGTTACTTAGAGCTTGCATTCTTTGGGGGATTATATAATAATTTATATTACAAACCAGGATTTTTAACAAATAGCAAATATAAATTTGGTAAGGTAAAATTTAAAGAGCTTTTTGAAAACTGTCTTGGAACCCAGCAACTAGTTTTGTACATATTTCAATTACAAATGCTTTCTCTTTTTACTTAGTTTGAAAACCAAACCATCTTTAAATTTAAAAGACAACATTCTCCTATACAGCACAAACACAAACATATCAAATTCAAATAATTTGGTGATAACTAAAAATAGATTAGTATAGATCTAAGTTTTTACTGTATACCTCATTTTACAGTGATTCACTATGAGTAAGCTTTTAAATTCATTTTCTTTAGAATACCAGTCTGTGTAAAAAAAATTCTAAGTCTGTGCATAATTACTACCTTAGAAAATGAAGAGAGGTTTCATACCTGATTCCCCTTGTTATTTTTCACAATGATACAAAGTTTACCTTTGTCAGCCCTAGTTAAAAAAAAAAGCTTATTGTAAGTCAGCTGTTTGGAAATTATACTGCATTTCCTTCTTGACACAATGTTATAAACGGTAGTAAAAATCCTACTAAAATCTACTGAACTCCTAATGTAACGGATGTGTGGGTGGTACTTACTGAGTCCTCAAATTCCTCTTTCATTAGGGGAAAAGGTTTCAGTGCATGTTTTAAACATCCTGTATTGCAAAAATTAAGTCAGCTGATTTTGGACGAACATTCCCTTAGGGAAACATGAGTTGATTCACTGCACACTATTACAAAAGCCTCTTAACTGATCACCCAGCCTCCAGTCTCTCCCTCCTAGATTCTAACCTCCATTGAGTGGCCAGTTTTCAGATCAAGTCACACTCCTACTTAAAAACTTTCACTGCCCAAAGAACTTCCTACATGATAAAGTCCAAACCCCTTACCTTGGCACAGAAGGCTCTCCCCAACTGATACCAACCTACCTGGGTTGTACATTCCATCCCTCCCTTTCATATAGACTGCCTGAAGTCGTACTGACATTCTCATCATTTCCTAGCAAGTCATGTTATTTCACACACTCCATACTCTTTATAAAAACTGTCTTCTTAGAATGTATTCCTACCCTTTCATTTGAAAAATTCATCAACATAGCCCAGTTCAAATATTTTTTTCACTATAAAACCTTCCCCAGCATCTCTCATATACACTTAGCATATCTGGTGACCCTCTGCCCCTCCACAAGCATTAAGCATGGTGTTTATAATATTGCCATAAACGCTGCCTAAATTTTGAAGGAGTATATACCTGCTTAAATGACGGGATGGCCATAACCTGTTGAAGCCACAGTTAAAGACCCTAAGGATATTCCATTCATCTACATACAGGTTATGTAACAGTCAACATATACATTAACATTAAAAATGTAGTCTTATTTATCTTTAAATCACATATTACTAAAACTCCAGATGTATACTCTACCTCACTCTATATGTTAGTGAATGTTAACCATCTAGAATACCACAGAAAAAAAGTAGTTTTAACAAGAAAAGATTTGGCAATTTCCCATTCAATTTCTGCACTGGGGCGAATATGCTTATATGTTAGTGAATGTTAACCATCTAGAATACCACAGAAAAAAAGTAGTTTTAACAAGAAAGGATTTGGCAATTTCCCATGCAATTTCTGCACTGGGGCGAATACCCTTAATTTAAAAAGAAACCAAAGATAAAAAATGTAATTAGTTTCCTAAAGGTCAGCAGTCCTGCACTGAAATTTTCCATCATCACCTTTCAACAGCTCTCAAAGCATTGATCTGGTAAAAAAAAAAAAAAAAAAAAAAAAAACCATTCTCCATTATACTCTATCGTCGACAGGGAAAATGCAACCATGCAAACAATAATTAATACAAAAGCCAAAACAAACAAAGAAGTTGTTTCCAGCAAGAAGCTAGAGTGTTGACGATTTGTTTCCCCTATGTTCGGGCATCTCCAATACACATATCCCACACAGTCGAGGGAAGTTTCACAACCCAAGAAGGATTTCACACAAGTGACTGAATTCTTACGATAATCCTATGAGTTAAACAGAGCAGGGATTATGTGTCCGGATTTAAGACACTGCGCACCCTGTGCCAACACAGAAGAGGCTGTTTGGCTATAGAAATGTGTAGCACTTGGTCTCCAAAAAATAAAAGTATTCTTACAACAAAAAAAAAAACGGCCCGAGAAAAACGAGCGCCGTCCTCCCCCCCTCACCCCTTTACCCCACTCCCCAAATTCAGTTCTGTGAGTCTACCGGCCACTCTGCTGACAGAACGACCCGTCGAGATCTCAAATTAGGATAGCCCTGAAGCGAAAGCCGCGCCCCTCAGGCTCTTTCCGAGGGACGCTAACTAACGCCCGGGCTGAGCCGCGGAGACGCCGGCGCCCAGCCTGCCGCGCTCTCCCGCTCCGAGGCGGGCGCCGGGCGCAGAGCCCCGAGAGCCGGGCCGGCCGCGCGCCGCGGCGGCGGGCGGAGGAAGTGGGAGCACACGGGCGCCCGCGGCCGACAGGGCTCGGGGCGCCAGACCCCTGAGCGCGGCCCCCGCAGGTCCGGCCCGGTCCGGCCCCAGGCCGGGCGCCGCCACGCCCGGCACCACGGGCTCACGCGAGCGCCCAGCCCGCGGGAACCGCCAGCCCGACGACCCTGGGGGGCGGACACCCACCTGGCCGCGCCCCACCGAGCACCGGGCCCACCAGGCCGAACAACAGCAACCACTGCAGACGGCGAGGCCCCACGGGCGAGCCCGCGCCCGCCCTCATCTCGGCCGACTCCGCAGGTTCGCTCAACAGCCGCTCGCCCCGGCCTCCGCCTCTCCCATCATTTCCCTGCCCCGCTGGGGCCCCGGGACTGGCCGGGAGGCGCGCGCCCGGGGACGAGCGCGCGCGCGCGCGGGCGCGCGGCGGTGACGCAACTTGGCCCGAGCTCGCTCCCGACACCGCGCTCCCTATGCTGACGTAGGGAAAAAAATCTAGTCCCCGGCGGGAGAATGGGATTTCTAAATCGTCCGCCCCAAGTCCGCCCCGCCCCGTCACTATCCGCCCCGCCCACTCTGCTCCAAGGCCCTCCTACTCCCGGGGGGAGGGGGGGGGGAGTCGAGGGAACCAATTGGAGGAAGCACTCGGCGCAAAAGGAGGAGGAGCGTGAGAGACCCAGAAGAGGAACTGGGAAGCTGTGGCGCCGCGCAGCGGAGCCCCGCCTCCCTCTGGTCAGCCCTTTCTGGTTGGCTGGCGACGGTGGGCGGAGCTTGGAGCTGCGCGCCCATTGGCTGTTTGGCAGCCGGGAGAGAGCTACGCGGAGAGGCTCGCCCTGGCTGGGCCCGGGTCGGCGGTGCCGGCCTGCGTTTGTGGTTGAGGCGGGTCGTCCGCCGCTGGGTCCGGGAAGATGGTGCTGGGTGGTTGCCCGGTGAGTTACTTACTTCTGTGCGGCCAGGCGGCTTTGCTGCTGGGGAATCTACTGCTGCTGCACTGTGTCTCCCGGAGCCACTCGCAAAATGCCACCGCCGAGCCTGAGCTCGCCTCCACCGCCCACCCGGAGGGCTCCGCGGGTGCTCCGAGCTGGGAATATGGCGACCCCCACTCTCCAGTCATCCTCTGCTCTTACCTGTAAGCCACCGGGGCTCGAGGCGGGTAGATACGGAGATCGGGCCATGGATATGTGGGTGTCGGGGTCACGGGGGGGAGGCTGCTTTTTTCTCCAGACCCCTCTCCGCTTGAGGACCTGGTAGTCAGCACGCAGGAGGTGATGTCGTGACAGGTTCCTCACTCCTCTCACCTGTGCAGGGAAAAGACTTGTGTGTCGGTGGCAGATCCTTTGGGATCCCGAGTGAGGAGAACTGGGGAGGAGTGACATCATGTGGCATCTGGAAGAAGGGTACACGAGGCTGTCTGTGCCTTCCCCGTCCTGCGCCCTTTAGCCAAAGAGGAGTGTTAGCTGTTAGTCGATATGAATTAGGCGCCAGTGCCGAGTGAGGCATAAATGGAGTAAATGACTTTTCTCTGCCTACAAGGCACTTCTTTTTTAAAGGCAGCACTCTTACCGTTGCAGAACCAAGCCACTTTTTTCATATCTCTTTTTGATCAAATAAGAAAAGGCGTTTGGGAAATGCAAAGACAACTGAGAATCCTTTAGCTTAAATTCTGCCCTTCCCCCAGACTCGTGGTTGTTTGACTATCGAAGAAATGAAGCCATAGCAGAAGTAGAATCCATGTAGAAACAGAACCACTAACACCTCCCCCTTTCTCTAGTAAAAGGTTAATTTGGGTAGCTGTCAGTCAGACCTACTGTGCTTCAGTCTAATTGACGCCAACCTCTTGGCTTGATAGAGGGCTTGCAGAGTGAAACTGAACCCCAGAAAAGCTGGTGAAGAAATGTCTCTTGCCTGTTTCAATTTTGTGCATGTAAACAGCAATTTGCAAAGATCATGTGATCGTGGTCTTACTGTTGAATTACAGACCTGAAGAATTTATAGAATGTGAAGACCCAGTGGATCATGTTGGAAATGCAACCGCATCGCAAGAACTTGGTTATGGTTGTCTCAAGGTGGGCTTTTGTTTTATTGTTTAAACAAACTCTTCCACTGAGAAATAGTACTGGCTAAATGCTGTTACAGAAAAGTATAAGCAGTACAAAGTTACTTTTTTGAAAAATTTTGTCAGAATGACTGTTACTGGAAATTTCCTCCCTGGCCAGTGTCAGTAACTGACCAAGACATTCAGTTTCCTCATGAAGGAGCGATCTCTGTGCCAAAACCACCCAAGTACAGTGACCAACCTGTCTTTGGTTCCTATGGCCATTGAGATTGACAGATGTGAAGCTAAAATTTCACCCCGGCTCTCCTTCAAGGCGTGCACATTCCTGAAAGCAAAAGGAAGGCTATGCACTTTCTAAAACTGATGATGGATTGGGCAGTATATTTGTTGCACACACATTTGAGGCAGAGATCCTCTTGCTGATGACCTTTCTCTTCAGCAGGCAAGCAGGTTCCACCGTGTCCTTAGGAAATAGATGTGGTCTATCAGTATATGTCTTTGTAGGAGGTTAAAGTATTCCAGGGGAAACCTTTAGTAACAATGGCTTCTTAAAACGAAAAGAAGCCATTCAGTTCCATTAATAATATTCCTAAAGCTGGTACACACTTTCTGATCAGTCTCTCAAAAACCAAGGAAGTTTATGAATCTCCTCCCCACAATGGAGTCACCCTTATATTGTGTTACATAATGCAAGTCTAGATTAAATTAGGTGTTAAGAGAATTATAGGAAAATATTTTTTGTACTAATTCAGACACAGAGATGAGACTCGGAGTGGTCGGGGTGGGAGGAGGCTGGATGATAGGAGATTGCTTGGTGGGTACGATGTGTTACTTCAGTGATGTATGCACTGAAGGCCCTGACTTCACCACAGTGCAATATATGTCGATGTAATGAATCAGACACAGAGGAATAAATCTGACAGTAATAAGATGTAAAAAGCAAGTCATACTGAAATCGTGTAGAGAAATATTTTAAATATTATGAAATTTTGTTCTGTGGATAACAACTGATAGAAGTTGGAGTTAGCATTGTATAGGGATCACTCACTTTTGCCTATTTTAATTAAAAACTAAATTTATCCTGGCCAGGTGCAGTGGCTCACACCTATAATCCTAGCTCTCTAGGAGGCCAAGGCTGGAGGATCACTTGAGCTCAGGAGTTTGAGACCAGACTCAGCAAAAGCAAGACCTCTGTCTCTACTAAAAATAGAAAAATTAGCCAGTCATGCTTCACACCTATAGTCCCAGCTACTTGGGAGGTTGAGGCAGGAGGATTGCTAGAGCCCGGAGCTTGAGGTTGCAGTGAGCTTTGAGGCTGCCACTGCACTCTAGCTGGGCGACAGAGTAAAACTCTGCTCAAAAAAAAAAAAAAGAAAGAAAACCTAAGTTTATCCTATGAAGACACTCAAACTCTCACCTCACCCAGAAGTCCTAAAGGACTGACAGCACTCAGGCACCTGATTTGGTAGCGGGGAAGTGTGGAGGTATGAGGAGGCAGCATCATTTTTTTTCCTAATCCCTTCCCTTTGAGTAACACTCCAATGAAAATATTAATAAAACACAAACTGGCAATAAAAAAATGTATGGTTGTGTGTTCTCAGTTAAACAAAGGATAAGAGGCCCAGTTCTGAAATTAGCTGCAATTTAAACTTACACTATAGGTGTACTACAGATGCCTGATAATCTCACATTCATGGGCTAAATGACATCCTGAATTCTTACCTAATTATGCTAATTTATAATGAATATAAAACAGATCTCTAACACACATTGACTTTTTAAAATACTCATTCCCAAATGTTCTGTTTTGTGGTCTTTTTCCTATAAATGTAGGATAATTAAAGTATTAATATTGTGTCCATCTCTTCTAAATGGCATTTGACAAAATTATGGGGTTTTTTTTTTTTGCTATGTTATTGAAGAAGCTAGTCATGAAGAAAAAAGCAGGAGTTTATTTAAACAATGTACATTTAGGATAAACTAATCTAAAATCACTTGAAATAAGTCACTAAATTCCTTTTTCTTGAGGACAGCTTTACCTCAACCTTGTTAGAATGATTGTAGTCCTCACACAGCTTTTATTAAATAATATAAAGATATACTTTTGTGTTACTTGCTTTGTTGAGTTTGTTTTGTTTTGGTTTTGTGGTTATTGCACAGTTCGGTGGACAGGCCTACAGTGATGTGGAACACACTTCAGTCCAGTGCCGGGCACTGGATGGAATTGAGTGTGCCAGTCCTAGGACCTTCCTACGAGAAAATAAACCTTGTATAAAGTAAGTGTTACTTTCAGTGATGTAGTTGGTAATTGGGTGGAGGTAGAGCCATTTTCCTTGCCAATTTTTGATGTGACTTTTTAAGTGTTAAAGAGGGTATTTGATTACTATTGTGCATAATCCATCGACAGAGGTAGTGAGTTTATAGTAGAGGGGACACTGGACTTGAGATCAGAAGTCCTAAGTCCAAAATGCCTCTTTCCCTAAGTGCCTGTGGGCATTCAGAGTCTTTCCCTCATCTACAAAATGAAGGAGTTGAGCCAGATGATCTGGCTCCACAATTCCTATGCAAGGTATAAAATCCTATGAAAATTGCCTTGGTATTTTAGGAATAAAGCTTTTATTATGAAAAGTGGAGGTGGACTCCTTACTCTGAAAATCAGTTTATCTTTAAGTTAAAAGACCAAGGTCATTTCTGTAAATTCTGCTTGAAGGCACAGAATTTACTCAGGCAGAGTGCTAACTGTAAGAGTCAGTGGCTGTGTTTACTGATCAGTGTAAGCACAAAAGCCTTATGGAGAAGTACTCGCTTTTAGTTGCTACAAAACAGCAGCAAAGGTGTGCAGAGATCAAGTGTTCATTTAAGGACAGTGCTTCCTTAGAGAACCACACTCAGGGAAAGCCACCCAAGCCTCAGGAAAGGAGCCTCTGTAGGGGAGGGTGGGAGGCCAGACTCCATTGCTACCAAGATGCCTATTGTGCAAATGTGCTTGCTAATTTCTTGTCCAATCCAACTCTGCAAAAGTCAGTATTTGTTCTTAGAGGTTCTCCATATCTTAGCAAGTACTCTATTGAGACCCTAGACCAACTAGAGATTTTGGCAGGGGAGAAAAGTAGGAGCTAAGAGGATATATTTAAAAAAAGGGTTTTTTTTATTCTTTTATGTATTATAATGCTTGACATATTAAAAAACCTTTCTGGTTGGGGAAAAACTGCCCCTCCTGAGGCTGAGGTTGTTTCTTAGAGATAGCAAAAGGCCTAGCCAGGAGCATGTCTTTGATAGGCAAACTATCATGTCTGATAGGCAAACCAGACATATTTCTGGTATCAAACCTGTACACGCCAGGAGACAATATTCCTCTGCCTTAATCATCCCAGGACCAGGTGCCAGGTAAAAAGGGACCACACCTGTAGTTTAGACCTTGCCGAAATTATTCAAACTAGCCAATCCCAAACGATTTGCTCTGCCCTGCCTTCCCTTTCCTACAGAAACCCCATAAAGGCAGTGACCTAAACCTTCCCCTCACTCCTGCCTTCTTACCACCATGGTGTCTTTCCCACAAAGCCCTGCGTGATAGGCTGTACCTCCTGTCTCTAGGACCTGTGAGTATAATAAGCTTTTGTTTCTCCTGAGCCTCTCCTCTTGTGGCTGCACCTGACTGTCCGTCTCATAAAAGAATACAAAACAGAGGGTGAGAGGCCGTGGAGGGACTGCTGTACCATCTGCTCACTTGTGTTAAATCCATTAATCTGAAGTGTTTTAATGTTCATGCAGTAAGACATCTTCCTTTTCATTCCTATTGTCTAGGTATACCGGACACTACTTCATAACCACTTTGCTCTACTCCTTCTTCCTGGGATGTTTTGGAGTGGACCGTTTCTGTCTGGGACACACTGGCACAGCAGTAGGGAAGCTGTTGACTCTCGGAGGGCTTGGGATTTGGTGGTTTGTTGACCTCATTTTGCTCATTACTGGAGGGTTGATGCCAAGTGATGGCAGCAACTGGTGCACTGTTTACTGAAAAGAGCCACTGTCAGGGCCCAGGGAGGCAGGTACAAGCTCTGCCTTCTGAATTCTTCTCTGCAGGCTCAAAAGTCTTCTTCGGAGGGGACCAGTTTGGTTAAGAAGGCGCCTCTGGACTTTGGATTCCCGACCCAGAGTTCACCTTTTGCAGACTAGAAAAAACAAAATATGCGTTGTACCTTTCCTCGTGGACAAAACATAAAAGATAGCAACTAACTCATAAGCTGTGGAAGAGTTTCCATAGTCTTTATTTGTGTACATTGCTGTATCTTCAGTCCCTGGAAGCAAGTGGACCTAACAGGATGAGTAAAGTGAAATTTTTATCCACGAGCCTTTCGTGACCCCGAGTCTTCATGCAGAGGAGACCTGAAGCTGAGCCAATGAAAATCTTCAGCAGAAGTAGAAATGACCATTGACCATTTTAATACACACTGAAATTCCGACTTTCCAAATTTAAATTGCACAATAAATTTTGCCAACCTGGTGTGCTGTATAAGTATTTTCAGTATGGAGAGTGAAACTCAAAATGCTATTTTTTTTTTTTTTTTGCCGAAAACTAGGCATTTGCGATGAACCACCCTATTAATAAACCCTGTTGTGTCACCATTATTACGCTCCAGAAACAGAACATGCAGTGTAATAATTTCTTCATGCCAATTATGTTTTGAGAACCAACACAGTAGCAGACATGTATGTGAGCTGAACTATTCCTCTTGGCAGAATTATCCTTTCTAAATATTAGTATTTATCAGTTTATGGAGCCCATGTTGTAGGCTGATAAAAAAAAGATTTCATACAAGTTTCTGTAAAACTATTATTCATGATTAGGTAAGATAAAGTGAGGAGCCTTGTGCCCTTGGAAAGAAAAATACACTCCTACTTAAAGAATATTGGATACTAGGGTGGAACTAGGACATGATTTATGGGGACACAAAGGAACTGAACACATTCAGACTCAGAATAAGCATGGTACTAAAGGCTCTCTATGGGCTATAGCAATCAGAAAGAGACACACAGCCAAGCTTTTGCATTCCCAAATCACTGGGAATAAAAGAAATGTAAGTAGTTTATAAGTTTTAAAAATTGCTTCTCATCCTTTTGCAATGTAAGTCGAAAGAACTATCACACATAAAATAACAGGTGGAATTTGTGACCAAGGCAAACTGAAAGCCTGCTATTCAAAATAACTTACAAATTCCAGAAACAATCAAGGTAGAACTACTCAACATTTATCTCATGATAATTGACTTAGAGATGAAGAATCACAGTTAAAGTAGCTTCCCTGGATATATTTTATCATTTTGTAGCAGCTTTCCTAAGAACTTCTGCTTTATCATCCCTGATTAATATGATCACTGTTCTTATATTATTAAAGGTAACAATGGTGTAAAAAATTAGAACAGATTATTCTGTTCTGTCTTGAAAGTTCTGTACCACACTGACCTTAACCTTGCTTAAAACAGTAACAATTGGTAGACTTTTAATTCAGAATCTCTGTGCCCTAAGTCAGTATATTTTAAATTGTCATGGGTCATAAAGAAACCAGACTTACTCCCCAGAAAGATACACATACATGTAAAATTCTGCATAGAATTTAAAGGCTCAAGGATCCCATGTTTTTGTTTTTTTAACTTCAATCTTACCCAAAATAAACCTTTAAAGCTTATCAAGTCCTGCTTCATCCCACACCTTTTTAATAATCTCCTAAGAATATTCACAAACTCCATCAAAAGTTGTTTCCTTTAAAGAAAAAAACTTTGGCAGCTCCAAGACTCGAAATCATTAATGTTACAAGAGGAAGAGCTTGAGTAAAAAAGCTAAATGTCCGTAAATTAAAGAATCTGTTTTATAAAAGAAGCCCTTCTTGTATATGTCCATACCACCCTGAATGCGCCCAATCTTGTCTGATCTCAGAAGCTAAGCAGGATCAGGCCTAGTTAGAACTTGGACAGGAGAAGGAACCCTTCTCAGAGTCAGAAAAGCTGCTGTTGTTTCTAGCAGTGGAAACAACAAAAGTTGTTTCCATTGCTAGAGCAATAATTTGAGAATCATGAGTACTATTTCTGTGTGACAATCTGTAATTGTCAGTTTCAATTTGATTTCTAAATGATACCAATCTACTATATCCATAAACCCCAGCCAAATGTGATACAACCTCAAAAACTCATTGACCAAAAGAGTATTATTAAAAAATTGATTATCTCTACACTCGATTCAGGTGGTTGCTTAATATTTGGTAGATAGATCTGTTTGTGTATGTGTGTGTTATATCTAGTTTGTGGCTATAGAGGTTTACTATACTAAAGTGTCCCTTCCCTCTGTCAAGGTTAAATTGGAAACTGCCTGTTTTTTAGTTGTTTCCTATCTTTAAATAAAATGTTATCAGTTCCCCAGACTTCCTGGCAACATTTCCTTCTTCCATTTGGCTTGGTAAGGCTTCGTAACAACAGTTCTTAACAGCACTTCTTAAGAGCAGCCCCAACCTGATGATCCCTGAATATGTGTGTGTGTGTGTGTGTGTGAGTGTGTGTGTGTTCGTGTGTTCAAAGCATCTTTTTTTTCCTCATCAGAAAGAGATTCCAAAACCCCTTGCCACCTTTGGCACATCTTCAATACAAACCAGGTAATTATAACTTTGGTTTTGTTAAATAATCTCTCTTTACAGCAAGACTTAATTGATTATTTCAGGTGTGACTGTCAGGAACAAAACTTGTCTTCCCCGATGAACAGTGATGGAAAGGGAATCACTGTCCTTAACAGCTTCGATAACATCAGCTGTGGTCGTAACAGGTTGCCCATTTATGCTGACAATTACATCATGGTCTCTCAACCCAGAGCTAGAAAGGGAAAGGGGAAAAAAAGGACCATGAAATTGTAAGAAGAGGGTTTTTTTTGTTTGTTTGTTTGTTTGTTTTTATGGCATTACTGTTTTGCTGGCATTAAACATACAAACCGGGTAACCAGAAATAGCCTCGATCCTTCCCAATCTGAGGGCTGTTCTTTTCACAGCACCTTCTGGTGCTGCAAAACCACCTGGAGGACAACAGTCCTGTTGACCTTTATAAAATTAATATCCTATCAGTACCACATAAGAAGTTTACTCTTCCCACTTACTGGATTTGGTTTGGCATGGGAAGTTCAGCTGTTAATTTCTATTAATCTCTAATTTTTTTTTTTTTTTGTGGCCCAACAGGGACGGTATTTATTTCTCATTCAAAAAAAGGACAAATGGGATTTGCAATCGAGATGGAAAGATCCGTCCTTTCTCCAAATCAACTCCTGTCTAATCTCTAATTTCTGTTAACCTCAGGCACACTGCCGGTCTCACCAGCAAAAGTGAAAAGCCCAAGCAGTCCATTTTTTCCCCAGACAAGGTTATATTTTGGTCAATTTTATTTTGACAACCCACATACTTGCCCATCTTCATGCATAGGAAGGTATACTGAGCTGCATTATAGAAGTTCTGCTTCCAATAAATCAACCTGACTTTAAATATTTAAAACTCTGGCTCTAGGCTTCCTTCCCCCAAAGCTGTGATTATGTTCAGTGTCCTACATCACTGCTTCATATTGGATATATATTCTAGAAGAAGAAACTTGCTCCAAATACAAAACACTTCTGTAACTACATAGCCATGCTAATGATTTGTCTTAAAGGTAAAAACAGGCTGAGGGAAAAACATCAAATTAAATGACTCCAGGAGACCCCATTTAAGGGAAATGAAAAGCCAAAGGAAGACTGATAATATGGTGGGATTATCAATATATGTGGAGTTTTAAAAGAATTAGGAAATTTAAAGCAAGTGGATACAAAGAGACGCCTGAGCACAGAGCTAAAAGCAGGAAACACGTTTAGAACAAGGACAGCTTAGGAGGATGACTTGGAACAAGTGTGCATAAAGAATTCATAATACTAGTTCTGTGAGTAGGAAAAGAGAAAAAGAAAGAAATCTGCACATTATTACTGAGCCCCAACTACGCACCAAATATGAAGAACTAAGGCTCAGACAGGATAAATGACCTTTCCCATGTCACGTAACTTGTAAGAGGCGAACGTAGGAGTTGATCCTGGGTCTTTCAGACTTGAAAACCCATCTTCTTGCCCCTAAGTCATTCTGCCTCTCAAAACAAACAAAAAAGCAGCCTCAAAAGCAGGATCATAGAAGGGTCAAGCCAGGGGCCACATCCCTGTGCTGACTTCCTGTGCAACTATGCAAGATAACCTCTCTGTACCACACAGCTGCTTCCTCTGTAAAATAATATTAGCACCTATATCATAAGACTCTTGGGGGCTCAAACAAGTATATAAAACACTTTAAACAGTGCCTCAGATACAGTCAATGTTTCATCAAGTACCAGCTATTATTAGTGTAACTATTATTATTAGGCATAAGTGGGTGAAGGCCAGAAATAATGGATTTCTATTTTTCAGGGACTCCCAGCAGTAATTCTCACATTTTAATGTGCATAGGAATCACCTGGGAATCTCGTTTAAAAAAAAATGCAGATTCGGATTCAGGGGGCCAAAGGTGGGGCCTGTGAGTCTGCATTCCTAACACGCTCCAGCTGCTGCTAATGCTACTGGTCTACTTTTGAGTAGCAAGGACTTAGCCGAAAGAAAACACGTTGGCCTTGAACCAGAAGTTAAAAATAAGGAGGAGTGGGGAGGTGGAGCAGGGAGGGAACCAGGAAAGTCTAGAAAAGGCTGTGACAAGCCAAATTTATTAATAGTAACATGAGACCTAACACTTAGCTATGCTGAGCACTGCCCTATAGTTTCTTTCCCCCTAGTGAAAGTATGGCCATAATCTAAACAGATTACTGAGCTCTCAAAAAATAAAAACAGAGGGAGGCAATAAAGAAATAACAAGACAGAAACCCAGGAGAATAATGTTTGTAGGACAAGCTACCTCTTTCTCAGTAGTTACTGTTAAATGTTTCAAAACAACAGTGAAGTCACCTAGAGAACCTTCTTTTGGGGGCTGCTCTGACCTTGGCTTTATTTCATCGAGAGCTCAAAACAAAGAAAGGATTTAAAAATACCTAAAATGTGTATTTAAACTTTTAACCCTGTGGATTCTTCCCATTCTTAATAACTAATAATTAATATTTATTAAACTTAGTAATCATTATAACCAATATTTATGACCAATAATCAATAGCTATCGATGACTTAGTAACTTAATAGTTAAGTAATAACTAGTAATATTGAAAGGGTAGATTTGGGAATTCCTAGCAAAAAATTAAACTTATGCTATTAACTCATGAGTTCTTCTTGGACTTCTTAGACTACAGAAAAGCATCTTCCTCCCTCCCTCCCCCCCAAAAAAGTCTTTACAAGTACACAAGTCTAAGTTAGCACTATCCTGTAGAAATAGCCACATTTTTTAAAAAAAGTTTTAAACATATGAAAGTAATTTTAATAATATATCTTATTTAATGCAATATATCCAAAATATTATCATTGAAACATGCAATATTTTAAAATTTTGAATAGGCATTTTACACTCTATTTACATGTAAGTCTTTGAAATCCACTCAAAACAACACCCCCCCCCCAATATACTACTATAGAATGGTAATATCTCATACAGTTCAATGATTAAAATAAAATTCAGGCCGGGCACGATGGCTCACGCCTGTAATCCCGGCACTCTGGGAGGCCGAGGCGGGTGGATTGCTTGAGGTCAGGAGTTCAAAACCAGCCTGAGCAAGAGCGAGACCCCCGTCTCTACTATAAATAGAAAGAAATTAATTGGCCAACTAATATATATAGAAAAAATGAGCCGGGCATGGTGGCGCATGCCTGTAGTCCCAGCTACTCGGGAGGCTGAGGCAGGAGGATCGCTTGAGCCCAGGAGTTTGAGGTTGCTGTGAGCTAGGCTGACGCCACGGCACTCACTCTAGCCTGGGCAACAAAGCGTGACTCTGTCTCAAAAAATTAAATAAATAAAATAAATAAAATAAATAAAATAAAATTCAGTCCTTAAGGAACAATAATTTTATAATTTAATGGAAAAATATTTTACACTGCTTCTCAGTTTTTAAATTTAAATTAGTTAAATCTAAAATTTAACTAATTTTAGGCCACATTGGCCACATTTCATGTGTTCAATATGCACTGCATGTACACAGTAGCCACTGTGTGGGACAGGGCAAATGGAGATCCTGCATGCTTTTACCTTGGCACGCATCTAAAAAGAACAAAGGTGGATGGGTAAAGGCCTGCACACTTGTCTTACCTTTCAGCAGCTGTTCCTTGAATCACTTCATATACAAAAACCCCAGAACTCACATCAGGGAAATCTGGATCTTGCCTTTTCATTTCTTGAAGAAGGCTGAGAGAAGCGAGAGGGTTAGGAAACATGATGAATTAATCTTCTGAGCCCTGGGAAAAGGCTGGAAGTCTCAGTAGGTACTCCATCTGTTCTGCTCGAGGCTCCCAGGGGCCAATGAGAACGTCACTGAGCTGATCACAGTCATTTTCCTCTGGGTGTATTCTGTTCCTCTATGCCAAAGCCTGGACCCAACTCACATTATAGAATGCAGCAACAGTGACAGACACTGTGCACAGCGGTGCCGGTGCAGGCAGAGGCACACGGGACCCACAGTCCCCAGAGTCCCTGCAGTCCAAATGCTTCGCTTTTCTGTTAAGATTGTCCAGCTACAGCTTCTGCCTCCGAGAAACAGCCCGGACATATTCAAACACATGCTTACCAGCACAATTCACAATTGCAAAGCTGAGGAAACAACCCAGGTGCCCATCAACTCATGAGTGAGATTAATAAAATGTGGTATACGTACACCATGGAGTACTACTCAGCTGTAAGAAACCATGGTGATATGGCACCTCTTGTATATTCCTGGATACAGCTGGAAGCCATTCTATAGTGAGTATCTCAAGAATGAAAACAAGCACCACATGTACTCACCAGCAAATTGGTATTAACAGATCAACACCTAAGTGGACATAGAGGAGTAACATTATCGGTGTCGGAGCGCGTGGTAGCTGGAGGAGGCGGATGGGTGTCATAAACACACAACGTAATAGAATGTACAACGTTTGGGGGATGGACACCCTGACTAGCTCTTACCGAGGAGGAGTGGGCATGACAGATTATAGTAACCTTAAACACTTGGTACCTTCCATAATATGCTAAATTTAAATATATAGATTAGTATATAGTATGTTAAAATAATATAATAATAATTTAAAAATTAAAAAAAAAAACATGCTTACTTCATAGTGAGGGGCAGCATTCGCAGACCCAGATATTTCTTCTGTGAAAGAGCCCTTCCTGGAAAGGAAAGTTATGATGTGTTACTAACAACAAAAGCTCTTTCCTTTTGACAGAGTTTAAGACACCTGTGTTCCAGAATCTCTTTGCTATTATACCTGCCTTTCAGGCTGCCCGCCATGAAATACATGCTACAGAGAACTTTTTTTTTTTTTTTTTTTTTTGAGACAGAGTCTCACGCTGTTGCCAGGTCTATGAGTGATGTGCTGTGGCGTCCAGCCTAGCTCACAGCAGGCCTTCCAACGTTCCTGGTCTTCAAAGCATTCTCCTTTTGCTTGATTTCGGTTGTCGCGTTTTGTGTTTGTTTCTGTTTTGTTGGTTTGTTCCTGTTTTTTTTTTATGTTGTTTTTTGTGTTGCGCTGCCTTAGCCCCTTCAGCCGATGTATGCTGGGAATCTACATGGGTGGCTATGGTGCGCCACCATGTCCGTCGGCTCATTGTTTCGTTCTCTTAATTATAGGTCTAGTTGGCCAATTAATTGTCCAATTTGATAGTAGGAGATGGGGGTCTGCTCTTGTGTCTCTAGGCTTGGTTTTCTGGAACTTCCTGAGCTTCTTGGGTTGTTGATATCTATATTCTGTTCATGCCCTCGGCTGCGGTGCCAGAAGTGCTAGGTTACATGTGGCGTGAGCCTAACCTGGTCGGCCTCGCCTAGGTGTCAGATTGAACTGTGTTGTTCATTAGCGACAGTACATTTGTTTGTCCTCTCACGTCTATCGCAACTCTACGCTCACCGCCAGCTTCCTGGTTCAGTTTCCAGACCTACGTTTCAATCAACTACTTGCTAGTAGAACCCGTCATGCTTGGTTTTGGTGCCGGTAGTCTTCCATATATTGCCAACCCAAACCCCATCAACTGTGTATCGTGAATGACACAGTGTGCCAAGTGGTTTGTTATAGGCATTCCAGTGCTGTCTCCATGAAAGAGTGAGTGCTCCTGATACACACAAGAGGGCGTGAAAATATCCCAACTGCTTTACCTTTCAGCTGCCGCTCGTGGTATTCTGCCAAGAACTGTCTGATTCGATCTGAGGGAATTGCAAAGGAGATGCCTGCGGTCACCTTCAATGTATTTATGCCAATCACATCTCCATCCTGGCAAGGAAGCAGACGATTCACTCAGTCTTGAAATTTACAAATCGAAGCGGTGCAACAACCAAGAGAGCGAAGCAGTTCACACCACAGTACAGAGACCGTACTCATATACACAAACACTAGACAAGTGGGGGACACATGTGCCAGAGAGGAAGGAAAAAAAAAAAAAAAATAAAGAAAAAAATTTCCCTTTCAGGCAAAGGCTCTAAGGTCTACTAGGATTTTTTTTTTTAATCTTAGGATCGTTATTTCTTCTTTAAGTAAATTACATTGAGTTTAAAAGTGAAACCACTATGCCTGTGCATGGTGGCGTCACGCTCTGTATCTTCCTAGAACTTTCTGGAGGCCTGAGGCGTGGCGGATTGCTCCAAGGTCAGGAAGGTCTGATAACCAGCCGAGACCCCGGTCTCACAGCCATCAATAGAAATTATAATTAATTGACCACAACTAGAAATTATATATACAAAAAAATTAAGCCGGCGGCATGTGGCGCATGCCTCACCCAGCTAACTCGGGAGGTCTGAGCAGAGGATCGGCGTTGATGCCCCGGAGATTGAGGATACAGCTGTGGCCAGGCTAATGCCCACGGCACGTCACTGGCTAGGTCCTGGCAACGAAAGGTGAGACTCTGTCTCAAAAAAAAAAAGGGAACCACAGTTTGAATTGTGACACAGATAAGAGGAGAAGGAAGATTTGCCCTTTTATTACTTAAATGAAACTAAAAATAAACATGGAAAAGGCAAAAAGCTGTCAGACTGTCAGAGACACTTCAATGAAACTATTCACAAGAATTAGGGAAACTGACCTCAGCGGAACAAAGCTCTACTAAGCTAAAGATATGAAGCAGTATATAATTTTCCACTTTATGCGTTTCATCATCCCTTAGCCACAAAGGAAAGGATATAAAAGAGATTTCTAGTTGTATTAAAATACAGATTGTAATTCAGTAGGTCTGGAATGTGGCCTGGAACTCTGCATTTCATGCTTGCTCTAGTAAATTTATCGTCTAAGGGAGAAGGCAGAGACAAAAGATTACAAGCAATGGTAAAAAGCAGTCCATCATTTTGCACACAATTCCCCTAAAAGCAAATGTAATATTTAAAGAGGAACCAAAAGCAAACAGCCCAAAGGGACTCAGAAAGCATGACCACAGGCTGAGTGTCAAATGGCATTGTGCTCTCTTATGTTTTCACATGTATTTGAGTAATTAGAAACCCTGGCGTTTCCACTAGAAATGCTGAATAAATTTAAGAATAAAATACATGGCAGAGCAACAGATGCTGGTTGTGGCTTTTCTATCATCTATAAGCAGGTCAAGACTAAAAACCTGGATGGACCACATTCCGTAATTAGCATTTTTATTTTTTTGACACAGAGTCTCACTGTGTTGCCCAGGCTAGAGTGCCATGGCATCAGCCTAGCTCACAGCAACCTCAAACTCCTGAGCTCAAGCGATCCTCCTGCCTCAGCTTCCCGAGTAGCTGAGACTACAGGCACGCGCCACCATGCCTGGCTAATTTTTTCTATGTATGTTTTTAGTTGGCCAATTAATTGCTTTCTATTTATAGTAGAGAAGGGGGTCTCGCTCTTGCTCAGGCTGGTTTCGAACTCCTGACCTTGAGCGATCCGCCAGCCTCGGCCTCCCAGAGTGCTAGGATTACAGGCTTGAGCCACCATGCCCGGCCAGCATAAACTATTTTAAAAGTACTGATTATCTAGCCTGTCTTCCAAGGATTCCCTCCTTTCCATCAGCCTTATTAACCTCACCCCTAGATTACTATGACTCCTTTTCACCTGGTCTCCCTACTCCCACACTTCCTCCTTTGATCCAATCTATATGTTCATTCATTCATTCATTCATGCAGTTCATGTACTGCAGCAGGGGGTCTCCAAGGACCTGCAGTGCATTCCACAGGTGGTCATCAGGCATAAATCTGGGTGTAATACCCAGGGCTCTTGGTAACTGTCTGATGAAAACAGAAAGCATGTTGGAGAGAAAAACATGTGAGGCAAACCAGAGCCAGAACCCTGGTGCACTCACTGGGATGGCATCACACACCAGGATGATTAACCCATCATAGATCTTGAATTCTTCCTAACCATTTACTAATGATCCGAGAATAGAAAAGCATCATTCCATAACCCTTTACACAAGAGCCCACGTCTGCATTTCGGAACGTGTAAAGTTTTTGAAAGTTAAAAAGAAACATGAATACTGCAGAGGAAACATACAAACTGCCAAAAAGAAAAAAAAAGAAAGAAAAAAGAAAAAAAAAAGGTTTAAATATAGTAAAAAAACATTTTAAAAAATTTAAAAAAAAAGAAACATGAAGTAGCAAGGAAAGTGGCCACTTACCAAGTTCACCAGAGGCCCCCCAGAATTCCCGTGCTAAGGACAGAATTTGAAAAAGCTGTCAGTAAAGCCAATGAATACATTTCTCCTTGTCATTTATATATAGCTCCCAAAGAGGTTTACCAAAAGCAGCCTGCTCTAACGAGCTCCTGCTGTTCCTCCATAGCAGGCAAAATATCCTCACCTATACTGAAGTCAGTATAGGTAACAAACAGTAAAAGGACCCCCACCTTCCACATGGGGTGACCTCCATAACAAACCCTGAGAGACCACCCCAATAACAAGGATGCCAATGATCATACCAAACAGACTGAACAACATGGCATTCCCAACCCTCACATGGGGATTTAACTGCACTCTGGACATCCCCAAAGGCCAAAAAGAAAAGAACTCATTCTGTCCTTTTATTCTCACCATACTGCTGCCAGTATCTTACGGGCTAAGGATAGACCTCCTAAGTGACTTACATTAATTATTGCATCAGTCTGGATGTAGTCCATATCTGAATTCTTCAGTCCCAGCTCTTTGCCTCCTCTCTGTGTAGTGCTGACAATTCCTGCTGTTACTGTGTTTTGCAGGGAAAATGGGCTGCCCAAGGCAATCACGAACTCTCCAGCCCGAAGGTCAGACGATCTTCCCAGTAGTAATACAGGAAGATCAGTCTGCAGTGGTCAAGGAGGGATAAGGACGACAGAAAGGTAAAGAACAAATCAAGAGCAGAATTGACCAATATTTGTGTCTAACACAGATATGACACTGTAGATATCATTTTGGCCCATCTAAGAAGCACCCTCCCACACAGATTCTATGACTGCCTTCTACTTCTTCCTAAAAGTTCAACTACCACCAAGCTCTTGCTTGTGAAGATGATTAGGATCATCTCTGAGGTCTAAAATGATTGCTTTGCAGAATTTACTCTTAGCAAACTGCCAGGAAGGTAACTGATGAACATAAACTAACATTATCAATTTCCTTAGTTCAAAGGTTAACAGTCAAAGTGAATAAGGCACAAACAGGAAGATGACCCAGAGCAGCACTTTTCAAACTGCAATTCGCATGCAAATCACCTGGGGGTCTTATCACAAATGCAGATTCTGAGTCAGAATGCCTATCTAGGTGGAGTCTGAGATTCTTAATTCCTATAAAGCTCTCAGGTGCCATGTTGATGCTGCTAGGGTGCAGAGCACACTTTGTGTAGCAAAGACTTCAAAGTATTCCTTAGCAGCAGCTTTGAGTGTACTAGCAATAATTTCTGGTATCCTAAGCAGAGAAATACTTTTCCAAGAAGCAGCATCTGTTGAAGAGGAGTTGCAGGAGGAAAAATTAAGACTGCTCAATAGTTAATATAAATTGTTAGAGATGTACAGACAGGAATGGAAGAAAAACAACAAAAAAAGAGTGTGAAGAACTGAAAGAGACTAGGAAAAAAAAAAACAAAAAAACATAAACCAGATTGGAAAAGATGTAGTGTGGGAAAGAAAATATCAGCAAATAAATGAAAATCCCCAAATACACAGACTGTGATTCAGCCCTCAAATACTCACATCTGGCTCAATCTTAATCAGTGCAAGATCCAATTTATGGTCAATGTCCTTGACAGTGGCTTCATACTGGGCCCCATTCTGGAGCTCCACCTGAATCCGCTGCTGGTTAGTGATGACGTGAGCGTTGGTAATAATGAGCCCATCCTCAGACACTATGAACCCAGAGCCACTGGATGCAGGAATATCCTGGCTGCTGAGAGGCCACCTGTCCCCATAAGAGAACAGCAGAGGGCAGGAAAATCAGGGGATCCAGCCATAGTTTGTGAGTCGTGGGAACTTCACATTTCTTAAACATACTGTCATCACAGTTTTCTCAGACATTTTGCTTTTCCCCGTCTGTGTTTTCATTTTCTCCCCGTACAAGTGGAATTTCCACAGACAGAACCCTAGTCTTGTGAGCACCACTGAGAGCTGGTCTTGCCTTTTCCAGGGACACTGCTGCCTTCTTCAGAGCTGGTCCGTGCAGCAGCCCACGGGGCCTCTGCGGCAAAGAGGCTGTACCTGCTCCTACGACATGCGCAAAAGCGCGCCTAGTGTCACAGTATCAAGGGCCTAGGCAGGAGGGCATCAGTAGGGTCTGGTTCTGTCTTAGTCTCCACTACCAACTGGCCTGTGGCATAGGACAAATTAACCCCACTCTCTGGGTCTGGGTATCCCTGCATGCAAACAAGGGGGCTGGGCAAGATTACCTCCAAGATGCCTACTCGCTCTTATATGTGACCTTAAGTTTTGTCTGTGGGAAATGAGAGAGAAAGAAATCCCAGCCACCCAAATCGCAGGAGAAGCTCAGATTTGGAAGTCAGAATCCTTGTGCCTCTGCTCTTTGACTCAATGACCTCGAACCGATGATGCCACCTTTCTTTAAGCCTCAGTTTCCTCAAAGCGGTTTTTACCACTGCATGATGCCTGTACAGGGCCTGGAGCAGGCGGGCGCTTGGAAACAGTGGCTGGGGGAGTTACCGTCCCCTCCATCTCCGTTACCTGCGGAACAGCTGCAAGTGGACCACAGACGGCGCCACCTTCTCCACCACCGCAGCGACGAAGTTGAACTTGCTCCTGAGCAGGCCTGCGCTTGGGGTCCCTGCGAAGAAATGCTCCTTGCTGGGGGGCAGCAGGAGCCCGGCTCCCCGCCCGTATCGGGTGTCATCTCTAGCATCGCTCCGTCTCTCCCCTCCCTCCGTCTGCACTTGCCTCTCCTTCCTCCCTAGCGCTTCCCCGCCTGCGCGCTTCCTGCGCCCCTAAGGACATGCCTTGCGGAACCAGGCCTGTCACCTCGACTGGGAAAAATTTTAAAACGAAGACTGTTCACAGGGCGAACGGGGAGAAACCAGGCTGCCAGCGGTGAGAGACACCCGCTAGGGCAGAAAGGCTCCGAAACACAGACGGCTGCGTCCCAGAGGCGAGCGAAGCCGGGCGGGCCCTGCGCGATGGGGCCGCGCGATGGCAACACGGCACGCTTAAGGCTCAGAAGTTGTCCTGAGCGCGCGCGCGGCCGCCGTCGCGCTCACCTGGATCGCCGCAGCCGCCCTTCTGCACGGGCACGGCCGGGAGCGCGCCCCGGAGGCGCGCGGCGCGGTTCTCGGCGCGGAGCGCGCACAGGCTGGGGTAGGTGCGCCCGTCGCTGCCGCACAGCCGCGCCGCTGCCGCCGGGCAGCCGCAGGTGCCAGCCGGCCCGCCGGCGCGGGGCCGGCCCGCCCGCATGCACCCGCACCGGCGCCCGGCGCCGCAGCCTCCCCTCGGCCGCGGGCCACGCGGCCAGCAGCCGCAGCGTCGGCAGCGGCGGCGCCCCCGCGGGCAGGACGGGCGGCGGCGGCAGCGCGTGGCTCGCAGGCCGCGGGGCAGGGCGGCGGGGCGCGGGCCGCGGGCACCGGCGGCGGCAGCAGCAGCCACAGCAGGAGGAACGGCCCGAGCGCGGCCGGCCGCAGCGGAGCGCCGGGCATGGTGCGCTCCCAGGCGGGCGACACTTGCTCCCCGCCAGGGTGCCGGCCGGGCCGGGCTTTAAGGGGCAGAGCCTGGCAGACCCCTCCGCGCACACCCACACCCACACCCCACTCCCGCCCGGCCCTGGCCGGCGCAGCAGGGACGCCCTCGTGCGCACAGCCAGCCAGCCACTGCGCACCGACGGGGCGGCTCGCCCGCCCGCGGGGCCGGAAGGTCAGCGCCAGGAAAACGCAGCCGCATTTCAGCAGTTCACATGGTTTTATTACAAAACAAGCAACCAAACAGTTTTAGAAAATTATTTTTTCGCTACAAACCAATTAGGAGATCACGTGAAAGGAGAAGCGTAACGGTTTCCATGCGCTCAGCTCGGCGCTGCCGGCGGGCACCCTGCACGGCTGAGACACACGGCTTCAAAACACTCATCATGCCGCTCCGTAATAAGCAGAGGGGGGAGAGGTCGAACGGGGTGTTTTTGCCAAACATTCGCTTTATTTGATCTCTACCTAGCAGGAATGACCGTAATTGACTGTGCAGGCAATAACAGAGAGAGGAAAAGGAACTCAGGGAAACAAAAAAACAACCAAAAAAAAAAAGGATGTTGGCAGACAAGATTTAATAAACCTGTCCATTTCTGACATGTTCAGAGCTTATTAACAAAGCCGGCTTGGGCAACTCAATTTCCAAAATGGAGTTACCTTCCTATGCCTTTTTTATCTGGTGAGCACTGAAAACCAATCTATCAAATCCCACTGCTCAACTACTGAAACGGCTGTTTATTTATGGGGTCCTTTCAGCCCATAACAGAGCAGAAAGGAAATAAAAAAACAAACTTCTGCTTCAGAGTTGAGGAAAAAGCTGGACCTTAACACTATTTTCTTTTTCTTGGTAGGTCAGAATTCTATGAAGAAATAGATGTGTAATTCCAACAGTTTGACCTGGGTTCAATCTCCACCATGTATGCCTCCGTGTCATTATGTGGTCTCACAATACAAAAGGCCAAACTCTTTTTACTAACCCTGAGCTGACAGTTGAGTAAGCAAGTCCATCAAAGCTTTCAAGAATAACGGACGGTAAGTAGTTGAGCTGCAGAGACGACCACCTGACATGCTGTTCCACCTGACATGCTGTTCCAGGTAGTGGAAAGCCTTACTCCAAAGCCTTATTGTGGAAAGAGCACAACTCAGGGAAGGTCTTTATTCCACAGAGAAAATGTAGTACCTTTTTCAGTTTCTTTTCTTAAAAACTCAGATTTATTCCAGAGCCTATGTACTTAACCACAAACCTGTACTGCATCCCGACCCTATTTTGTCCATTTGGTTCCATTTTATACATATAAAAGTAAATCCTTTGGTCAAATATGCACCATTTTGGGTTCACATTAAAAGATTATGGTGTGAAACTGGCTAGAAGGTAAGAAATACGGACAGAAAAGGAATTCTGAAATTCGATTTGGGAATGAGAATGCTTTTTGTTCTCATTGAAGATATTTAGACTTATCTGATATTGGAACTACATGAACATTCTAAGTTGGAATTCACAAGTATTTGCTAATTAGAGTCCTTGTCCCTTTATCAAGATAATACAATCTACTTTATAAGTGTGTTTCACACATTCTCAAAAGAGTACTTGCTGAATAAGAAACATAATCAGCTTATTATAATGGCCAATTAATTAGCAGTAGTAATCTAGCAGAGAGTTTATAAAAGAGAGCAAGAAATGGGTAGATTGTCACAATTTAAACACCAGAAAATGACATCTTTTCCGTGACTCTGGAAATGTTTAAAGAGATGTCAGGGTGCAGGCCAGTGGCACAATGGATGCCGTGTCTCACTACAGATCAAAAGAGATCTCAAAAGTTCCTAATTGATTTCCATTAGTTCTATATCACATATTTTACCCTTTCTTTGGCCAAAGAATTTTCTTAAGGAAAATTTGAAGATGAAACCAGAGGTTAGGAGCTATAAGAATTTGGAATGGCCTCTTGAAAGCAGGCTACTTAAAGTATGCTGTAATCCCGATCACTCATAAATAATAATTTTTTTGTTGTTGTTTTGTTTTTGAGACAGAGTCTCGCTTTGTTGCCCAGGCTAGAGTGAGTGCCGTGGCGGCAGCCTCGCTCACAGCAACCTCAAACTCCTGGGCTCAAGCGATCCTCCTGCCTCAGCCTCCCGCGAGTAGCTGGGACTACAGGCATGCACTACCATGCCCGGCTAATTTTTTCTATATATATTAGTTGGCCAATTAATTTCTTTCTATTAATAGTAGAGACGGGGTCTTGCTCTTGCTCAGGATGGTTCCGAACTCCTGACCTCGAGCAATCTGACCACCTCAGCCTCCCAGAGTGCTCAGATTACAGGCGTGAGCCACCGCGACTGGCCTAAAATTCTTAAATGAAAGATTTCTGGGGACAAAAGTACACCAGAATTTACAGAAGAGGTGTGGGTAGGAGAGAGAGAAAGGAGGAGAGATCCAGTTGTAGATTTCTTTTTTTATACCAGAACCAATAGGCCAAACTGAAGGATAGCTGCAATGCAGTACAGTGAGAAAAAATTCTCAGTGTGACAGAGACTTCAGGGAAACTACACTGCCTTAAAGAAACATGATTCCTCTTAAGTCACTAAGGATGTTCTCATCAAGTGTTTTCACCTCTGCATTAGATTTGGACATAAGAAGGGGTGGGGATTTACTTAGGTCAAAATGCTTCTTTTAGTCTCTTCCCCTAGTCACTCATTTTTATTTTTAAAATATAATTAATTGATCTACCTGATAAAAGTTAAAGACAGAAATGAGCCAAGTGCTCTCTTCCTTTAGGGGAACCTAATAAGCTCTCGGTGGCAATTCACCACATAAATTGGATGGACAAATTCTCCCAGGCACACTTTTTGTCAAATGGAAGAAGGTATGCCCCAAAATGTGGGTGGGAAACCCATCTTCTATGCCCTTCTAAGACGTCTCTAGCCAGCAACTCCTAACTTCTCTAAATCAATGTTTCTATGCCCAGTTTCTATTTCATTAAAAACGTAAATATCTCAAGATTGTCTTTGTATCTCTTCCCTGTTAAGTACATGGAACCTCATCATATTAAAGGGATTGATCATGCAAGTACACAAAGCTTCACTCAGAGGGCAACACAAAGAATACAAAGAAAGTGAGTCTGCCAGGGGCATACAACACACAGCACTTAAATTCAGCCTAATGCCAGCCCGTTCAAAAGGAGCCGTGAAGCAAGGATTCGAGATACTCCTCTTTGCCAAAACAGAACTTTTCTCCTGTCTGGAAAACATGAATCACAAAAGCTTAGCTGGACGAACCAGAATCCATCTCATGTTCAGCACCTACTTTAAAGCTCACCTAAACCTTTGAAAGAGACTGATCTAACACACATGTGAATCATCATTGATCAGCCTCCATGCATCCCAAATAATGCCATATCAAGGGAAATGTCTGTTCTGTACTCGATGGTCATGACATTTAACACTGATAAACCCACCCCTTGGGGTCTGATACAGAAACCGGGTGGGCAGGTCTGCCGCCCACGTCTCTAGGATCTGGGGTCGAAGGCAGCCAGAGGAGAGCGAGAGTAATTCCCAAAACTCACTGATGTGCTGTTGGTATAGCTGGATTATCCCCGTTCCTCACAAGAGCTCCTGCATGCTCTCCTACGAGGAGTCAGTCCCCAGCGCACCTGTCCCGGCAGGCACTGAGGGCTGCCCTCCAGGCCCCGCATCCCGACACCTCTGTCTCCCAGTCCAGCCCTCCCACTTCACAAGCCTCAGTCAACAAACAGGAATAGGATAAAACCAGATCAGTGGGCTAAGATGCGTGCCTGGACCGAAAACAAAACGAAGAAACTAAGACAAGGATAAGGAAATAAATCCCGACTCCCGGCCTCCTCTGGAGAAGAGTTGCTGAAATAACCCCTCGCCAGGAAGACCTTGGGATAGTCAAGCAAGAGTTTACGACGTACTCTTGTTTATGGAGTGAAGAGTAAACACTCTCCGCTGAGTCTGCCTACAGGTCTAACCTAGTACTTTCCCAGAATTAAATACACTGCACTAATATTACCAAAAAAAAAAAAAAAAAAAGGCCAGCTGGATGGGCCCCTCCATCCCACAGAGCATCCACAGGAGTGTGAATGACATAAAGGCCTGTGACTGTCCTCCAGCAAGGGGGGAAACTGAGTCACGGCCTCCTCCTCCTCTCAAGTCCTCTCTCTCCCTCCCATGGCACATGCACCATCACACATCAGAGGTCCGTATGTTTTCGTCGTCAAGGCTGAACACAAAAGCTTTCTCCTTGGGGTGCTGGGGCTCCGATCTGTGCCTCATCCGGGAAGGCGGCAAGGCCCCGGCGGCGCTGCTCTCCCCGAGTCGGGGCGCGAACAAGGTGTCCTCTGGAGTCTCCTCAGCGGGAAGCAGCTTTTCCCTGGCCTGAGGAACAGGCGTCCAGGGCTGCCAGGAGGAGGCCACAGAGGGGGCTTTGCAGAGGGCTTTCTTCTCCTCCACCGGGGGCCGCCCCCTGCACAAGAACGAGTTGGGCCCGCCCGAGAGACTGGAGCTTCCAGGTCGAGTCAAAGAAATGGATCTAGAAAAGGACATTTCCTACAAAAAAATCAAAGGGGGGAAGAAGAAGACGGAGGCGAGTTAGGGCTTTTCCTGACAACGTTTATCCCAAAGTCCCCGGAAGAGCACCCACCCCAGACCACCCCCTCACAGGTCCAGAAATACCGGTCTATGAAAATCAAATAGAGGCCCGGCGCGGTGGCTCACGCCTAGCTCACTGGGAGGCCGAGGCGGGAGGATTGCTCAAGGTCAGGAGTTAGAATCCAGCCTGAGCAAGAGCGAGACCCCGTCTCTACTATAAATAGAAAGAAATTAATTGGCCAACTAATATATATAGAAAAAATTAGCCGGGCATGGTGGCGCATGCCTGTAGTCCCAGCTACTCGCGGGAGGCTGAGGCAGGAGGATCGCTTGAGCCCAGGAGTTTGAGGTTGCTGTGAGCTAGGCTGACGCCACGGCACTCACTCTAGCCTGGGCAACAAAGCGAGACTCTGTCTCAAAAAAAAAAAAAAAATCAAATACAGTCAATGGCATTCACCCCAGGTTTGTCGAGGTCTGCCCGGCAGGGAGACTTGCAGGATGTATCACATATTCCATTCCTCTATCCAACCCTACCTCACCTCCTCCAACAACCAAAAGAAGAAAAAGAAAAATCTGTACCCAAATTAGTAGAAAGAGAAAAACAAGATAGCCTGGGCTTCAGCTGCGTTTAGGGACTGGGCCGCATGCTTACATCACCAAATAAAACACGCTTACTCAAGGAGAATTCGTCTCTAAGTTGACACTGTGTGACAGAAAGGAAATGACTTACTCTGGGGTGGCACTTGAGGGCCTGGACAGCTGCCCCAATCTCCTTAATCCAGCTGTGCATGTCTTCTGGACTGTCCGCCTGCAAAACATCCACAGCACTTACAGAGATGTTTTGGACACTATGATTTCAGCTTTCAAGTCTCTGACTCAATTTTAAGTTCATAAAAGTCACACCACTAGAGGTGGAAAGGATCTCAGAAATCATCTAGCCTGGGAGCTTTCGGACTTTTGAGGACATTTTTTTCCTGCAGTATTTGACACCCAACAAACAAAACCATTCAAGTGGAGCTGCTCTGAAGGGGGAGACAGGCTGTGGGGGAGGGGAGAGCTCAGAGCCCAGTCCCCTGCTGAAGCCCCTCACTCCCTCCAGAAAGCAACTGACCTGGTCTCGCTCCCAGTTATACAGAAAAGGAAAATGAGGCCCAGAAAGCCGGAGCTCAAGGTTGGCTGAGATTCCCCCCCACCCCACCCCAACTCCCAATGTGGTCACGTCTTTCCCACTACAACTATCTGAACAGAATCCTCCCACTTTCAGTTCCAGCCCGTGAAAACCAAATCTGTGTGCGGATCCTCCAAGATATGTATTATCCTTTGTATTATCTCCAGAAACGGAGCTTTTCTCAAAGCACTAGCTATCTGACAATCTCCATCCAGGCCTGAGGAGTTGCTGCATGCTTAACAAGATGTAGGGCAAAGCTAAGGAGTTTTAAAAGTGTATTATTTCCCCCCTCCCCCCAGAAACAACCTACCAACCCAGAAGGGGGCAGCAGCAGCTCTGCAAAGAAAGGGAAGAAAAACCAAGCCGCCCGGCTGCTGCAGGTGGAGCCTCTTCCGTGCTTTCTTCGTCATAGGGGTTGAGTTCAGCGACTGCGTCAGGTGCCAGGCACAGAGACCCGGACCGAGACTTGAAAGCTGAATCCCTGACCTCCAGAAATACACATTTGTCACCCCCCTCTGTGCCCCTCCTAATAGTCTCACCCAAATACACAAACATGCACGCGTGTGCATGTGCAGATCTATGTGCAGACACCACACACCAGCCCCCAAAGTTCTCCGCATCTTCCACTCACACTCCCCGCCCCCAAAATGACTCCTTTTTTCTTTGCATTCTGTCAGGTTAAAACACGAGCAGTTAAAAAATTTCTCAAATTTGCATCCGTACCCCCCGCCTTCCTGTCACCCCAAAACAAACCCTCCTTGGCAAGAGACACAGGCAGGAGACACTTGCATGGGAAGTGGTTTCATAAGGCGAACACCTCTCTAACATGTGCCGCGCCTGCACATTTACTTGCTCTCTCTCTCTCTCTCTCTCTCACCCCTTGACTTTTCCCAGTTATTTAACAATCTGGTGGTTTCCCAAGAAAAAGATAAATGCATCCGTCCGTGGTCCAAAAGAGATAACCAGGGTAAGGGCTCCAAGGTCCTTCCAGAAGGTTCTTTAACTAACGTCAGGGCTGGCCTGTTCTGCAAGTATAACTATTGAGAGAATTAAATGAGCTCAACTAGTTAAAGGTGTCTAAATAGTGTCTGACACAAAGAAGGGGGTCTGTACACATTAGATATTATTGCTGTCGGTTTTATCATGTGAGGGAAGCGAATGAAGCTTTAGATCCCACCATCACAGACATGCGCATTGCTCTCTCCCTGAGACTTTTTTTCCAGTTTCCTCTTCTTCAGTCTGCAGATAATTCCTACCTCCAAGGATCAAATTATCAGGATCAAATAATATCACATATTTGGAGGGGGGGGGGAGAAAAGGTTATTTTGAATTTGAATGAGATGGAGGTAACTGTCCATTAGGAGAAAAACATTCATTGGAGGTTGCCCTCCTGGGGAAACAGACGGTGGTTTGGGAGTGGCACGGTAGAACAGAGAGGGAGTGATGGAGACGCGGGCTGAGGAAGAAACGGTCTCCCGGGTCACGTGGGAGAGCTGACATTTCTATTCAACAGACTGGAACACCCAACGATGACAATCCAATAACCAGTTTCCCGGCGTGGAAAACCATTTCTGGACTCCTTCCTCTGCTCCGGCAAAATGCCTCCCACCATGTCAAATGCTACCCCCCACGCCCCCACCCCAGGCCAGGGCCACCTACCTGGCTGCGCTTTGAGGCGGTACCTCACCCGCAAACACACATCCCCTCCAGGTACCATCACACAATAAGCCTAGGTGTCTTAGCAAGAAATCACGGCATCATAGGAAACTAGGAGTCACCCGGTTGAACATCTCAGGACTCAAGTGCAAGAATCACAATGTACACTGTTATTCCTGGCTGAAGACCAGATACAATTTGCTGACTTTTTTCCCCTTTTCCCATTTGTCAGTAATAAGGGCTCATTAAGGACAATATACAAAACATTGAAAATGAAAAGCTAAAATCACCTGAAAACCCTCACAAAATCCTAAAGATAACCACTGACAGCAAATCCAGTCCTTTTGCTATTCATTTTTCTTTGTTTTCCTAAATAAAAAGATACATTATATCTTTATTTGTTCAGTAAGTATTTTTCCATGCTATCAGATATCTTTGTAAACATTATAAGAGGATCCAAGTAGATATACTGTGGTTTACTCATCCAATCCTCTAAAATACATTTAAACTGTGTCCAGTTTTCCTCTTATATAAATAATGCTGCTACTGACATCTTTGTGCAAAAGCTTTTTTCATATTTAGGATTCCTCAGCTCCCAGAGAAATTACTAAATTAAAGAGTACACACACTGTTTTACAGATTTTGTTATATCTGGCCAGAGAGATTTGTGGCCAACAATATAGGCTTCATTTACCCATAAGATTTTTCTTACATTGCTAGAATTAAATAATTTTTTAAATCTTTGCTAATAAGATAGGCAAAATAATTAAATCACTTTCGTAAAACATTTAGTAATTAATAAAGATGGAAATTGTTTACTAGTATGTTTTCTCCCTAAATCTCTCATTCCCTCTTAAGGGCATTTTTCAGTCAGATAACCTAAGCAGTAACTCAGCCATAAAGATAAATGCTAAATTCTAATAAACATTATTTTATTTTTAAAAATGTATTTATTCATTTACTTTTAGAAACAGGGTCTCATTCTGTCACTCAGGCTAGAGTGCAGTGACATGATCGTAGCTCACTGAAGCCTCCAACTCCTGCACTCAAGCTATCCTCCCACCTCAGCCTCCAGAGTAGCTGGGATCACAGACACACCTGGCTAATTTTTAAATTTTTTTGCAGAGACAGGGTCTTGCCTATGCTGCCCAGGTTGGTCTTGAACTCCTGGCCTCAAGCAATCCTCCCACTTCAACTTCCCAAAGTGCTGGGATTACAGGTGTGAGCCACCACACCTGGCCTATTTTAAAATAAATAGAAAAGCAAGCATTGCAATTGATTCCATACAGAAAGAAATATAATATTATTGTATTGAGATAACAATTATAATCTCTATTCTGTGTTTCCCCGAAAAGAATATCTACCCATAAAATAAGCCCTAGCATGATTTCTAAGCATTTGCGCAATATAAGCCCTACCCCAAAATAAGCATGGCTACGCAGCGTATCTGCACAACCATGGTAAAGAAGACAAGCAGCCTTTCTCATCTGCCCCATGAGAGCTCTACTGCTCAACATGAGAGATTGTGGCCAATGTCTAAAGGAAATAGAGTCTCAAGAAATTCAGGATGGAATTTGGGGTTTGGAGAGTTATGATGATACTCCAGAAGACAACTTAACTCTTTGAATAAATGTAGATTGTTGTACCATACTTAAAAAAAAAATAATTCATCCCCTGAAAATAAGCCCTACGATGTCTTCTTGAGGAAAAATAAATATAAGACCCTGTCTTATTTTCGGGGAAACACGGTAGTAATTTAAAGGACTGCAACCAAGGGTAACAATGAAACTCCAAACACTGTATGCCAAAGTAGTGGTGTATGTATATGCCTTTTATGGAAAGCCTGTGCTCCGCTTTCATCAAAATCTCAAAAATATCTTAAAACTACATCACAAACAAGGTAGCTTCATGAACCAGAGGTGAAAAACAACCAAAGTCCACCCATCCTGTGATGTATTACTTGCTTTAAAATTCAGTAGAACAAAAAGGGAAGCACGAGCTCATACCTTCATCTCTTACCAGTGTGCTTATGTGTCTGCACTTATTTCTAGTTATTGGCTCAAAGAAAAAAAAGTAGAGTTTCTGTCCTTGGGGGGGGGGAGGTTTGAGGTGAGAGGGACAAGAGGTATTAAAATGAGTCACTGCAGCCCACAGTCTTTGTGCAGTTCAATGATATTTTATTGAGTATTTGCTATGTGCCCAGCACTATAATAGATGCAATGAATTCATTTGAAACAATGAATTCTAGAGGCCATCAGTAAAAGGCATCCAGTGGTCTGCCTCTGACTACGGCCACTGCCCCTGCCCAGAATTTTTAGGCAGCTCCTCCTTCATTCTATTCCCAACCTCCGCGGCCCTTCCCTTCTTTTCCAACAGAGGATTACCTCTGCCCTCTGCCTAAGAACCAATCCCACCTTTAGACACAGCCCGCCATATCTGATTGTGCAGACTGTACACTGCACAGTTCTAGGTGTTATCATTCACCTTGTAGTCTAAATTAAATGGCAAGTATCCAAAGAGTTCTAGCCCAACACTCTGCAACTCACTTCTGAGTCCACTTATTGCTACTCTTGTCCTGACATGGCACCCCAGTCTGACAATTGGATTTATGCCAAGCTACCAAAACTACCAAAAGCTACCAAAGCTACCATTTGCACTACCATTTGCACTACCTTTCTCATTTCCAATAGCTAATATTCCCCTTGATAAACTACCTAGTACTCCTGACCCTCTGGGACTGGAAAACGGGGAAATGGTGACTCCTGCTTGCCTTGCAGCCCATGCCTGAAATATCATTTTGAACCCATGCCCAGAACTGAGAACTGTCTACCTGTCATCAAGCCCGTTGCTTTTCTGCTTGCTAAGATATGTGATTATTGCCAGATCCTGGATCTTGGTCAGCATGACCCATGTGCCAAGACTCCCAGTTACCCCCAGTTGGTCTTCCCTGATGGAGGCAGACTTATCAGGTTGTCTGTGGCCACACCCTCTAAAGCTTTGGGTTCTGGACTAAGTTGTTCTTAAGTAATGCAAGTGAACAAGTCTTGCTTCAGCACCTGGTACCTCCCAGTTGGCTCCATAATTTACTGGCTTTATGATCTTGGACAAATAATTGACCTCCAGAGACTTCATTTTCTTGCATGTAAAGTGGACATGACTTCAGAGACTGCTGAGAATTAAGTGATATGCTGCCTACAAGTTGCTTGGCCCTATGCTTGGCACATCTAAGAGTCCATTTTTATTAACAAAAAGACTATTATAGTGTGAGAGATCACAGGGTGCAAATTATACATAAATGTGGCATGGAAGTTAAATGACTAACACCTAAGTAGTTAGAGGCCAGTCCAAGTCTTTCTCTTCTGTCCAAAGAGCTGTTTTCTCCACCTAGCTCTGCCCTGCTCTCAGGTCTAGTTCCTAGACAGGGAACAGTTCTCTCTGGCAGATTTACTGAGCATAACCTTAGGAAGCAGGTCAGAACACCACTTTGGCACGGTGGGTAAAGCTGCTGGCATCTTGGCACCAAACTGTACAAGTAGTCATATTCTTTCAGCTTTTGCATGAAACATGATTTTTTACTTGGAACAAATGACGGACACACAAACTATCAAACACACTAAGATTAAGTATTTGGCAGACTTTATCGCAAAACTGAATGATACGGGCCTGTAAGGTCAAGGAAAAATCATCATTTTAAGCTTTCAAAGCAAAAATTAGAATTTCAGAAAACTTTTATCTGCCTCCATGAGCTTAACAGCTTTCCATACTTAAAGAATTTGCTAATATCAATCATGATGCTATTAATGAATGTGATTTTTTTTTCTATATTACATAACAAACTGTGTCAACATTTCGAAAGTCTGCATAACTCAGTGAGACCACTATTTTCCACATGACCAATGGATGCTGTTACAAAATCACCACGGATAAAATCATCTATTTAAAGTGCAAAACTGACCACTGGAGTTTAGTGTTACGAGTATGAAAGTTTATGGATGTGGTCTCGGATTCTAAATTGTACTGAAATGTTAAGAAATTACTATTTGTCAAATTTTGGTATAAAATCTAAGAATATCCACAATTGCCTAAAAAGGCTATTAAAAATATTCTCTTTTTTTCCAAATACATTTCTATGGGAGGCCAGACTTTCTCCACATTCTTTGATCAAAACAACACATGGCCACAGATGGATACAGAAGCTGCTATGAGAATCCTGCTGTCTCCTATTAAGCCAGCCATTAAAGAGATTTGCAAAAACTGGAAAACAATACAACTATTGCTATTTTTTAGAAATATAGTGATTATTCATAAAATATGTTTTTTAAGTTATAATGAGTTTGTCACTGCTGTTTTTAAATGAATTAATAAATATCTTTAATGATTTTTAATCTTACTTTTCCATTCTTTGCAAGCTAGGTGCTATAAACAGACTTGTCCATTCTCTCATTTATTTATTCAGGGTGATGCTAGTGTTCTACTATCTGGAAATGTGGGGAACAGGAGACAGAGGAGGACTGAGGTGATGAGAATCTTCTGGCAAAGGAGCACATACTCATAGAAAATCTTCTTTTGAAGATTCTTTTTGTTGGGTTTTATGTTTCCCAAATCACTACCTTCAAGCCAAAACTCTCTTTCCTTTGAATCCTTAACCAGCATAATCACTCACTGGACAAATTTTTGTTTAGTATCACAACGTGTCAATGAGTATATATAGCCAATGGTCTTGCCCCCTTCCCTGTCCCCCAGGCACCGCCAATTCAGAGCCACCCGTGCTAACCTTGTCTTTCCTCCCAGGGGCTCCCCCCCCTCGGTGCTCCCCACACATGGGGGCCCTGCCAGCCACCCCACCGCCATCTGCACACTGCCCCTGCTTCTCCTCTCTGCCTTCATCCAACCAACTCTCAAGTCCCAGAAAGGCTGACTGTTTAATTTCTCTTAAATTTTCCATTTTTCTCCAACCACCCTAGTTCAGGTTTCCTTTACCTTGTACCTAAACTACTACGACGGCCCTCCAACGGGTCTCTGTCGTCCCGTGTCAGGCTTCTCTCATCTGTCCTCCACGCTGCACCGGGCCGGCAATCTACAGACAGCGCGTCGTTCAAAGGGCTGGGGTAGAAGATAGCCCCCTCCATGTTGCGGAAGAGGAACGCAGGGCTCTGAGAGCTGAATAGCTTGCCCACGTGATATTTTTTTAAAGGCAAAGCCTATCGGGCCACCACCCTCATTTAACCACTAAGGTGCAATCTCTCAGGACAAAACCCAAGCTCTTCCTTCCAGAAGGCCTGCAAGTCTGCACGGCCCCACGGGCCTCGCCGTCCAGCTTCCCCAAATACTCTCTCCACTCCTTTTATCTCTAGCCTGTCCTTTTAAAGGTGCTCTGGGCCACTCTTCTCCCAACTAACTCAGCTCAGGTGTATCTTTGCCCAGGAAACCTGCCCTGGTCCCCTCAGACTGGGTGAGGTGCCCTGCGGACGCCAGCAACCGGGACTCACTCTAATGCTAGCAGCATTTATCACGGCATTTCGTTTTGCTTTGTTTTTTGTTTTGTATTTTCCCAATGCCTTATAGGAGGATTTGCAATACATTTAGATTCTTCTGTCACATTCTGCATTTCACACTGGAGTCACCTAACCTCCAAAATTTTGTTCTCAATTTTCTTTTGAGACAGAGTCTCGCCTTGTTGCCCAGGCTAGAATGAGCGCCGTGGCGTCAGCATGGCTCACAGCAACCTCAAACTCCTGGGCTCAAGCGATCCTCCTGCCTCAGCCTCCCGAGTAGCTGGGACTACAGGCATGCGCCACCACGCCCGGCTAATTTTTTCTATATATATTAGTTGGCCAGTTAATTTCTTTCTATTTATAGTAGAGACGGGGTCTCGCTCTTGCTCAGGCTAGTTTTGAACTCCTGAGCCTTGAGCAATCCGCCAGGCTCGGCCTCCCAGAATGCTAGGACTACAGGTGCGAGCCACCGCGCCCGGCCTGTTCTCACTTTTTATAGCAGGGCTGACTGTGTGCTGTGAAGTTCTGTGCCACACGCCCACCAGCACAATATCATCATACACAACAGTCGCTGCCCTGCAAACACCCCTAGTGCTTCATCTACCCACCCCCCACCCCCCCGCCTCCTCCCACGGTCTTAATGGCAGGTGTCCTTGACAATCTCTCTCAAGTTCAAGATCCATCCTGTTTAACGTGGTGTCCCCAGCCTGAGACACAATGCCCAGCACTCTGAGGATACCCTATAAACATCCGCTGAATGCAAGAACTAGAAACTCTTGCTGCACCTACAGGTTAAACCTCGTCCCCGAATGGCAGCGGTGGCAGTAAGTAAGAAGGTCTAAAGCCGCCCACAGCTGCCCTTTCCACAGCTCCTCAGGGGGAAGGATCCACAACTGGGGCCACTGACCAAGACATGGGGAAGGGGGCCAGCCTCATTTGGAAGGGAGGCTGCTTACAGCCGTAGTTGGGGCAGAGAAGAAAGGGAGGCGGGAACCCCGAAAAGCTGCAGTTTGGAAGCCTCCCATGCAAACCAACATCAGTTTCACCGCAGAAATGCAGCGGGTGAGTCCAGGCACTGGCTGTGGACGGCCACGCAGGCTGGTGGGGGTGAGGGACTCGGCCCTGAGAGGCTAGGGCCTGCTTGTAATCTGCCTCTCTGGCTCCGATGACTTAGAAGGAGCTGGGAGAACTCCAAAGCCGTGGGTGGAGGGGGAGAGGCTCCTGCTAAGGGAAGCACCAGGGCCCAAACAATGGCTTTCTCTGTGCAGCTGGGCCGTGCACCTGGTGCCCGCACAGGGCCCTCTGCGCTTCTGTCCTTCCGCACACAGCGATGCCCATACACAGAGGAGACTTATAAATACCCGGCAAAGGAGAAGTGAAATCGCTGACCGGTTCTCCTTTTCTCTGCTTAGTTGGAGCCCAGCGACTGAGAGCAGCCGGCACAAACGCACATTCCCCAGCACGGCGGCTCACCTGCTCTTACCATTTTATGGTTGGGAAGTTTTTGGCAAACATCCTGTTTAGAATAAAATGGGACCCAGACTGACTATCGGGGCTAAATTTACTGCCTGGAAACTTCGAGCAAGAGAAAAGAGAGAAAGGCAAGGCAAGGGCGAGGCCTGTTAGCACGCCCTTCACAGAAAGGGAATGCCAAAGTCTTCTCTGAGTGAGTGCTTTACCTGTACGTAGAAGGTCCTGGAACTTGTTATGATTTCAAACAGGTTGTCCCTCATTAAGAGATCACTAGACAGAGAAAGAGAAAGAAAGTTACCGGGCATGCTGGCATACACACTGAAGATCTGATTTGTCCTGAGTCAAAGCACCAGTGCCCGGCACCATAAAACAATTGGGGAGGCGGGGGAGTCTCAGGCCATCCCTCCTCCACTCCACGGGGTTCCTCCGCAGTTCCAACGAGACAAAGCCCCTTTCCCTCCAACACCTCCTGCCTAATATCCTCCACTGCCCACCCCTCACCCCCACGCCCACCTCCTACAGCTTTCTTTCCCTCCTCCCTTCGTTCTTTCGAGCCTGAGGTACGTGAAGTGCTTTTGTATGACGCAGTGTTCCGAGTGCTGTTTTGCACACTGTCTCATCCGGTCTTCACAACCGCCCAGCGAGGCACTGGAGACGTCCCCCCATTTTATGGACGAGGACACCCAGGCTCAGCGAGCCTAAAGGAGTTGTCCTGGGTGCGGGAGATTTGAACCCAGGTCTGACTCCAGAGTCTATGGTTTTTTACTTAGGCCGCTGCCACACGCCCCTCCTAAGGGAGCCAGCTCTCCCCTTCCAAAACCGTCCTCCACCCAAGCAGCAGCAGCAGCCCCATCGCTTCCCCGGGGTTCCTGCCCTTTGCTTCATGGTGCTAGGCCTGCAACAGGAGGCGCTACAGAGGGCAAAGGCAAGTGGGAGCAGCAAGGTGCTTCCACCTGGGTGTGGGCTGTAGAAGAGAGATCCTGACTTCCGCGAGGAAGAAGGCAAGAAGTCACTGGTACTTGGTGGCAAACCTCAAATCAGCCAAAATTATTTTACAGCGTTAAACACCTGCTGCACATATCTAGCCACCGTGGAGAATATAGAAGGACTAAGAGATCTAATTGCTACCCAATAAGAGAACATAAGGAAGCGACATTATATCAATGGATGTTAGAGCATGTGTTCTACGGCAAGCGTTAGAATAATTCCAAAAAAGGGACTGATCGCAGGACTGATCATTGGCTTCACGAATGGAAATTTGGAAGGAAATGGCAGGAGCTTGGCCAGTGCCACGGGACCCGGGCTAAGGAGGTGCATGAGACTAATGACCCCACTGGGAGGAACAAGACGACGGCGGCCAGACAGACCTGGGGCCGAACCCTGACTCTGCTTAGGGAAAAGGTATTTAGGGAAAGTTTTAAAGACTCTGTGAGCTTTGGTAACCCCAAGTGCAGAATGGAGATGAGAGGAACTCCTTTATCAGGCTGGGTGGCCATCAACTAAGGCCTCCGGTGTAATGCATACCACGGGGAACAGTCACTTGAAACACATTTCAACAACTGTTGTTACTTCCTGAGTTTCTGAATAAAAAAGGCTCTTCTTTCCGGCTAAAATGTTTTAACCTTTCAAACTACTCATGCATATCCAGCAAAACCACATAATCGGCTACTGAGGAGGTGAAAGCAAAGCAGGTAGGAAAGCCCCACTGCTTTCACATCTACTTCTCAGGCTGCCTGGTGCCTTTCGGTTCAATTCAACTCAATTGAACAAATGTTCACTGATCACCCAGACCGTCCTGGACCCTCCCACCGGGTTCCGGAGAGGCCAGTCTCATGGGCCTACAAACTGCAGAGCCCTCAGGACCTCCTTCCCTGCTGGTCTTAACCCCCTTACTTCTTTTACTGAGACTCTGGCAGAATTAGAGATTTAAGGAACGTTTGAGGCACTCTTAGGAGTAAACCCCACCTTGGTTTCCTAAGCTGCGCCCACTTGCCCAGGTGGTCACACCTCTGCATGGGCCCTCCAGGGTCAGGAACCACCAAAGATCCCCAAGGGTCTACTTCATGCCCCATCTTTCCTCTACCCATTGCTACCTCTGGAGTGACACTTCTGGAACTTCCATATCTATAGCCACTCTGATGAATTATAAATTGTCATTGGAAACCTCCCCAGTCTTCTATGCTTGGCCACTGCCATTTGTAAGATGCCGTAGAGTGCTTCTGCCCCCATTTCCTTGGGTCCCACAGCACATTGTTTTCATGCAAGATCGCACCATGCCGTCTTGAGAGTCCCATGCCTGCTGCTAATAGCTTCCCTGATTTTGCACATCCATGGGATGGAGGGACCCAAACACACAGTCCCTAAAGACTGCAGATCGGTGCCAAAGAGGGGATTTCTAGATGCCCAAATACCCTTGGGGTCTCTAAACGTTAGTTCTAGGGGCATCTGTTTTTGGTGCTGGATCTGGGAGATCCCTTGCCAAGTCCCAAACTCATCCTGAGCGCCGTGGCACCCGGAAGATAATCCTTTCCTAGTGGAAAGAGGAACTCATTACAAGTCCTTGTTCTTCCTGCCCAGTTGGGAGTAACGGAGGTGGCGTGAATCAGCCTCGTGTTAACGGGACATCAGGGTCAGAAGGAAGAGAAAGGCTCAACAGTTCCAGGAAGAGGCACTGGCACAAGCAGTGACCCGACCACAAGTACTGAAGTCAGAGACCCAAAGGCACAGCCCGTCCTCCGGGCCCCAGTTCTCCTGGAGCCTGGCCACGTAATTCTCACACCTGGGAAGCAGCTGAGCTCCACTCCCTCCTTTCTTTCTATACTCTTTCTTTTTCTCCACCAGAAATCACTATGTAGGCTCCTCTCCTTAGGAGGTAGAGGAAGGCAATGTGACGAGGGTAAGCCTGCCCTCGTGTGACCTCGTCACTGGGCCAGCCTGGATGCAGCGAGTCGGCCATAAGACGTCAGGCTCCTGCCCCTGGCTCTCAGAAGCAGATTCTTGCATGGAGCTCCAGAAGGGTTGTGAGTGGAAATTTAAGAGGACAAATGGAGGCTCTGATCATAAGAGAAACAGCAGGGACAATTACCCAGACTTGACCAGACATTCGTGGGTCTTGAGAACGTCCTTGAGAAATATAGTACGCAGTGGTTCCCGGTCCTGGTGGGAAAAATGGAAAAACAGGTAAGTGAGCTGCTTGCATGATACTATGACCCAGATCAGATGAACAAGGCCCCTGCCCAGAGACGGCTGGTTGGCTCAAAGCATGAACAAGCAACCTGGTCTCAAAATCATCATCAAGAGAAAAAGAAATTCTTTTATTTTTTATTTTTATTTTTTTGAGAAAGAGTCTTGCTTTGTCACCCAGGCTAGAGTGAGTGCCGTGGCGTCAGCCTCGCTCACAGCAACCTCAATCTCCTGGGCTCAAGCGATCCTTCTGCCTCAGCCTCCCGAGTAGCTGGGACTACAGGCATGCGCCACCTCGCCCGGCTAATTTTTTTCTATTATATATTAGTTGGCCAATTAATTTCTTTCTATTTACAGTAGAGACGGGGTCTCGCTCTTGCTCAGGCTGGTTTCGAACTCCTGACCTGGAGCGATCCACCCGCCTCTGCCTCCCAGAGTGCTGGGATTACGGGCGAGAGCCACTTTTTTCTCGGCCGCGCCCGGCAGAGAAAAAAGAAATTCTAAGAAGAAAACGCTCCATGCCTGTGACCACACGGCAGCTCACTGCAGTGGGGACGTTTTAACATCCCTGTCACGATGCGCACACGGAAAGAACAGGGAGAAGACAGAGGTGCCTCTGAAGCCCGTGTGTACCCACGTCTCTACCCGTGCACCCTGCTGTGGCTGTGCACGCGTGTGCCTCGCAGCTCCCACAACCCCATGGAAGGGCCCTGAAGCGACTACGCACCTGCTCACACTTGAAGTAGCAGATGGTAAAGTCATCGAGTGCAAAGAAGCGGCGTTTCCAGCTCTTCCGCTGCCATGAGAGATAAAGAGCAGGTCATCAGGGAGAGCCCCAGCCTGTGGAGGGCGTTCTAACGGGAAGCCGCGCCCGGGGACCCAGCCCCAGGGAAGTCAGGCTCCCACGGGCGGGAGGGGCAAAGGCTCTTCTTCACAGCAGCGCAGCAGGGCCTCAGACGGGAAGGGCCGGCCAGTGGCTGGTCCCAAAACCTCAGGGTTGGAGGTGGAGGCTCCCCGCTATCAAGCTCTTCTCCCCCCTGCTCCAGCCACACCCACTGGCTCCCAGGAGCCCCCCAGAACCCCACCCCCGCCCCTGCGCGCACACTCACCACGTTCCCTTGCTTCACACAGTAGCCGCTCTTGATGAGGGGGGGCCCTGCGGAAGCCCGGCTGCCCGACGTGGGGATGTAACTCTGGGACCTCCGGAGGATGGCGTGGGAGCCTGGCTCACTCCCCTCCTGCCCGTCCCCACCGCCGTTCTGCAAGGAACCAACCAGCGTCAGGTGAGCGCCTCCCTCCACGAAGCCCCAGCCCTGCCACCCCCCTCCACGCAATCTCTTGCTTGCCTCTTCCCCACTCTGTCAGAGAAGAAACAAACAGGAAAACCGACCTTCTGTGCTCCCACCAGGCACGCTGCGGGGTGCTTCCCCAGACAAGGCTCAGGGAGGTCGGGCAGACCCAGGAGGTGGACAAGGGCAGAGAATGCAAAGCAGGACCCAGACAGGAGGATGGACACTGGGCTTCTTTCCAGTCTCTCCGGCCTTGCTTGGGTCTATTTCCCACTTGGGTTCTGCAAGTGCTCATCTCCTGCATCTGGTGCAATTTCTGCACTGCGGTGACTCAGCCCGCCCCACCCCTGCCCCGTATTCTCCTGATGAGCCCACCTGCACTAGCTCCCCCGCTCCCACCCAGCCTCCTCCCTGCCCAGTCCCTTGTGCGCACCACGGACAGCCCCAGCCAGGCCCCACACCTGGTTGATGGGTGTGTGGACCACCACTCCTCCGATGATCTCCGTCCTGTAGGCCACCTGTGGCTTCTTCTCCAGGGCTGGAGGAGCCGCTAGGCTTTTGAGAACTTCTGTAGCCAGGGGTAGGCTCCCAGCTTTGGGTACCTGGGAAGAATGGCAGCGTGCTCAACAGGGAACAGAAAGCTTAGGAAAAGCAGAGAGCCAAAGCCATGAGAACAGCTAATGTACCGAGTTACAGTCAGACTCCCTTCTCCACAGCCCTTCCATCCACCCACATCCAAACACGAGAACTTGGCTGGCAACCCACTCCCCACACACAGATATACACGGACTCCACGAGTTTACTGAGCACTTACTATGAGCCAGCCCTTCCCTGGTTAGAAACCAGATAAAACATCAAACAAAATAGATAAGGGTCTTGCCCTCACTGTGCTTACACGCCAGGCAGGGAGAGTGACCAAAAACTATGTACATGTTGCAAAATAAACAATAAGGTTAATTACAAATGGTGGCAGAATAGCACAAAGAAACTATATGGGATTTGGAATCAACCCAAGTGTCCGTCAACGAATGAGCAGATAAAGGAAGTGTCGTACATATACACCATGGAATATGCCACAACCACAAACAGAATGAAATCCTGCCCTCTGTAACAACAAGGATGGAACTGGAGGACATTATGTTAGTGAAATAAGCCAAGCAAAGAAAGACCCATCTCACACGTTCTCACGCATATGTGGGAGCTAAATATTGAAAACAAATGATTTCATGAAGACAGAGAGTAGAGTGATGGTTACCAGACGCTGGGGAGGCTGGTGGGGAGGAGGGGATAAAGTGGAGATGGTTAATGGGTGCAAAGATAGTTAGATAGTTAGATAGAATGAACAATGTTTGCAGCACAACAAAATGACTATGATCAACAATAAGGTAGAGATACTTTAAAATAACTAAAAGAGGCCAGGTGCAGTGGCTCACACCTGAAATCCTAGCACTCTGGGAGGCTAAGGTGGGAGAATCACTTGAGCTCAGGAGTTAGAGACCAGCCTGAGCAAGAGTGACACCCCACTGCTACAACAAATAGAAAAACTGGCTGGGCATGGTGGCGCATGCCTGTAGTCCCAGCTACTCGGGAGGCTGAGGCAGGAGGATCACTTGAACCCAGGAGTTTGAGGTTGCTGTGAGCTATGATGACACCACTATACCCTAGCCAGGGCGACAGAGTGAGACTCTGTCTCAAAAAAAAAAAAAAGGGAATCAAGTATTAGACACTAAAAGAAATGGAACAGTAGAGAATGCTAAAGGGTGAAGACACCCAACATGAACGAAGAAAACCTTTATTAAAACCAGCACCCAAGCACACAGGTTGGCATGAGTGAGCATGCTAGCAACCATCTTGCTTCCTCCTGCCTGCCATTAGGCTTTCTTTTCACAGGCCTATCAAGGTTTATCAGAATGACAAGCTAACAAACAAAACTGCTGAGATGACTGAGTTGTACTTGGTGTGGGTTAGTACACTGGCATATCCACACAAATGCAGGACAGGTGAGGAGGTTTCTTCCATTCATTTATTCACAAGAACTCTGGGGTACCTGAGAGACTGATTTACCCCAGTGCAGAGCTGATATTACCAGAAGTCCCTCAAATGTGAGCGTTTCTGGCTGTGTAACATAGAAACTCAAACTTTTGAGTGTACAAACCACGGACCATAAGCTGAGAGTCTGCCTTTCTTACTGATGGAAGGTTGACCTTATTCTAAAACATACAGTTTTCCTTCTCCTTCCCTCCTTATCCTTTCCCTGTTCTTCTTCTGTATTTCTGTGTGTCTAGGCTAAGGAAGAAGAGAGGAGTTCTTCACCAGCCGAGTCAAAGAGAACGAGGGTCCTTCCAGAACAGTTTCAAGCCAGGCCGGCAGACGGTTCGGACTGGCCCCGCAAGCAGCCTCCGAAAGCAAGCAGAGTACCCAGGACACAGTGCTGACTCCCCCTCATAAACGTTTCCCTTCCACTCAGCAATCCATTTTCCAACCCTCCCACACTCTGAATCACATCCCAGAACCACCGAGCCACGATGCCGGCGCCCTGCCAGGAAGCATGAAGGGGACGCTCCAGAAACTGCCCCCCTGAACTCGACTCAGACTCAGACTCTGGGTTTCCCCTCGTGGTCGGTCAGCCCAGGTTCGGGAAGAGGCCCAGAGCACCGGGTCTGCGCTGCCGTCAGAGCTTTCCCCCGACCCCAGACACGTGCCGGGAAGGGGCACGTCTGCCACCCCCAGGAAGGAGAAGGAACCGTACGTACGGTGATCTTGCTGGCTTGGTTCAGGGCTTCCACCCAGTCCTTCAGATCTTTCTGGTCGTTGGCTTGAAGAAAATATCTCTGAGACAGGGCATTGATAACTGCAAAAAAAGCCACGGAGAAGAAGGGGAGATGCTCAGGTCAGAATGCAAGCAACTCTCAACAAGGGTCCACACACAGGTAGCAAAAGACACACGGATGCACGACGCAGAAATCTCCCGCGGTGCTGAGTCAGCTGAGTGGACATCTAGGAAGCGGCAGGTCACACCTGCCGGCTCTCCCTCCCGCCCGCAGAAACGAGACCAGCCCACTGGCCACAGGATGACACTGGACACCAGCGGCAGCCTTCCTGCGCGGTTCTGTGGCGCGTGCTGACAGGGTCACAGGCGTGCTGGCACGTGGGGTTCCGTCCCACAGAAGCGACTGGCCCGGCTTGGGAGACGGAACGAAGCTCGCCTGAGACAGAATTTGTGACTTCGGCCTCACGGCCAACCTGTTCTTTCCTCCGAGCACCCCACCGGGCCAACAATGTACTTCTAGGTTTATTATTATAATAATATATATTTTTTAAATAAATATAATGACTACAAAATCTGAGAGTCATTTCTGAGCTCAGCCACGATGTTTGAAAGAAATGGGAGAATGACAGCACCAAAGAAGTCTGAACCAATCGGAAGCGGGGAGAGAGAGCAGTCGAAGAGACTATTTTATTCTTGCGTAAGCCGGAACTGTAGGAGGTGGGCTTCGTGGGGTTAAGACAAAGAATTCACCAGTTCTTTCATTCGTTCAACAAACGTTTATGGAGCGCCCACTACGCACCAGGAGCCAGCGTAAGTGCTGAGGATGCCACATGACAAAGCAGGGGAATATCCCTGCCTTCGTGAAGGTTTCCTGCAGAACCACACTAGACATGCAACAGAAACTACTTGTGAGCATTTGCTCTTAGGGCTTAGGACAGTTCTGAGAACACAGTAGGAGCCAAATAACTATTCGATGACCCGTTCATTGAATTCACGGCGACGATCCCCTGATGTGGGGCACCCACCGAGTGGCTCTGCTTCCTACGTCACCCCTCAAAACAGGCAACACTGAGACGCTCCACAGATTGTTCCTTCCTTTCTAGTCTCCCCTTCCTTCCTGACACGGCCTCCTCTGGGTCTCACCACCCTTCTGAGCACACCAGCTACTCAGGTCTCAGACGAGGGCTCCCAGGAACTTCTAGGAGACATTTTGCACCCACCCTGAGGCATCGAGAAAACTGTAATGTACACGTATAATTGTTATTTACCAATTTAGAAAGACAGAACGAAAACCAGAAAAAAAGATAAATATTTGAGATGATGGGCAAGCTAATGACACTATACCTTACCGTAGCCCATGAAAATGCACGATGATTGTCATTTAAAGAAACACAAAATTAAATCCAAAAGAAAAAGGAAACCGAAATGTTACTGGTCCCTGTATTTCTGTCCTGATGTTACTCACAATCATGGCAGCAAGACCAAGGAAAGTGATATCACCTGACAACCCAGGAACATCCCTGTGACTGAAGTCACTCATACGCACAGGATACAGTGACATGTGATCACAGGACTGTCTCCACGCAAAAGAGGAAGTTGCTGTACGAGTGTTAAGAAAACCCGGCCCCTGGCTCAGTACTTACCAAAGCAAAATGGAGTTTTTGGTTTCTGCTTTGGGGTAGCTATGCTCACCTAAATCAAATAAAAAAATAAAAGAAACATAAGTATGTTTCTAACAGCACTGAAAATGTCTTATTATGAAAGTTTTCACACACAAAAAGAGTATATCAAACTCATGCGTACATTTAAAGATAATAATCAAGTGAAATCCTGAACTCATGAGAAACAGCCATTATCAGTCCTATTTCTTAGAAGCCATCTCTATGCCCCTCCCTGACAGAGTCCCCACCCCTCAGAGATAACCACTGTCTCCATGTCTGTGTTAACCTTTGTCTTTGCAAGAAACGCTTTTAAAAGCCACTGAGTCCAGGTAGTTCTCTGAGGTTTCTCCATACCGCTTTCCATAGAGGTGGTACTAGTTTGCAGTCCCACCAGCAGTGCAAGAGTGTTCCTACCTCTCCACATTCACTCCAACATGTATTGTTTGGGGACTTTTTTGATAAAGGCCATTCTCACTGGAGTTAAGTGACATCTCATTTTGTGGTTTTGATTTGCATTTCTCTCATGACCCCAAGGGATTTTTTTTTCCCCTAGCGTGGCAGTCGATGTGTTAATTTGCATTTCCGTGATGATTAATGACATTGAGCATTTTTTCATATGTTTTTTGGCCATTAGTCTATCTTGTTTTGAGAAGTTTCTGTTCGTGTCTTTTGCCCACTTTTTAATGGGGTTGTTTGATCTTTGCCAGCTGATTCGCTTGAGTTTTTGTGAAGCTGCCCTGGACTAATTCACACCCTCAGGGTTCCACTCCTCTCTTTTCTTTCAACCTCCGACCCCTCTCTAAGCAGTTCTCCCAGGCGAAGGCGGTATTGCCACAAACACATGATTCCAGTCTGAGCTCACAGAAAGCCACATTTAGACACAGACTGCCTTTACATCTACCCTGACCACTTAACCATGAAAATGGGCACTTTCCACATGCCCAGAGTAGGGCTGATGGACGCAGAGAACGTACCTGTGTATTTAAGGGAAGGGCATGAGGAAGTGCAAGTGTTTTTATAACTCCTGTTGCTCTATTTCAACTGGCTTTTGCAATCCTACCCCTTACACGTACGTCCCTGAGCGTCCGCATATGTAAGCCCACAACACTGAAGTTCAAACACGCTGAGAGGACAGAGACAACCCCTCGTATTCCATCACATGCCCACAAATGCAAAGTGACATCCTGATGTAGCTGACCCTCCCCAGCGCAAGCCTCCAGCCCTATACCTGGGGCCTCTAAGGAGGCGGCCACCTCCCCAGGGGACCCAGGCTGGGGACTCTTGACATACTGTCATAATCATCTCCTGGACGTATCATTCCCTCCATCCCCTTTCTAGCCAAGGGCATTCTTCTACTCGTCCTCACTCGGGGCTCCGGGAGTGCCTGCTGCTTTCACGGGAGGCACTTCAGAAGCCAGGAGCTGAAGCAAATCTGGAGTCAAAATTAAAGTCACTTCATGGCTCGCAGCTGCTAGGGGCTAACCGAGACTGACGCACCGGTCTGTCTAGGTTCTCGCTCTTAGCTGTAAGTTCTTCTTATACCACTGCCCAGATTCCTTAAAAATTAATATCACCCCAAATACTCCAATGGGAACTGAGGTAGCACCTTATAAAAGATCAAAAGAAGGACAGGCAGTACACCCCGGGCTTTCGAGACAGAGAGTCTCAAATGACAGGTGTCCCAGCTATGTGACCTCCAATATTTCCTGTTCTATCAAATAAGGGATAATAATGTCACTTGGAACTATGGGCAAAATACTGAGGACCTGTGAGCTTCTCGGGGCCTGCAAAAAATGTACGAGACCCAGAAAAATTGCTTGGCCTCCAATATACAAAGATGGCATATCCAAAAAAGTTAATAAATATTTAACTCAATGTCTGCGTAACAGCATGATATCAAACTCACTGACAAGTCTTTAAATGTGTTATGAGCCATCACATTAAGTCAACGTCATCAATTTTTCAATGAAGCATGCAAAAAAACTTCATTACATTTGCAAATAATTAGCAGCTTAGATTTTCTTCCTTCACAAGAATCTCTGTGCGTCTGCAAGAGGACTGCCCAGAAATTAGAACCAAAAATAAATTAGATGAGTTACTCATCACCAAGTCCTTCCAAAAGTAAAATGATTAAAATCCTTCCAAATATTTTATGGCCAAACAATTATGTTTAACGAGGAATATGGCTGCATTCTGGTGTGTTCACCCTGATGTGAGGTGGCGGTCACAGGAACTTAAAAAGTCCTGGAAAAAAATGAGGATTTAAGCAAAGGGAAACCCACACATCCTGAGTGTAGATTCCCCACATTCAGTCATGTCTAGACTCACAGGCCACAGGACCCGGGCGGTCTGTACCATCATGGGCTGGGCCCCCTTGCTCTCGCGTTGTCCTGGGTTTCTGACCCCAGAATGCAGCCTGAACCATCCTGTGTGTCTTTCTGCCCTGCTCGCAGCCCATGTGGTCCGTCAGTGGCTCGTTTTCTTGGTCTGTCCCTCAGCGTCCACGTTCCCACCTGTCTTCTTGCCCATACACTCCTGCTTCTCCTGCTCGGGTCGCCGTAGAACCCTGAGCGCCATGCAACAGCCGTGGCCATCCAGGCCCTTCGAACCCACCCCCGCTCCCCTTCTGTGTCCAGCGTTAGACCACGCTGAGCAGAGGGGCACTCCAAGGCCCTCTGGCTTAGTATCGGAGTGTTTATCCTGCTACGCATGGAACTGCCCTATCTCTGAAAAACTCACGGTGATCACTGGCTAGCGATCACTGCTGGGATTACAAACGCTCCGCCTTGACCACCACTTCCCGGCCTGCGCGGTGAGAACGTCCCCCGCGCTCAGGGCGCCTTCAAAGAGGCCGTCCGGCGTGCGTGCGTGCTCACGCGCCTCCCCCGCTGCCTCCGGAGGTGCGTGTGAGGGCCCCACGCGCAGCCCACCCGCCGCACGCCCTGTGGCTCCCCACGGAAGGGGGGCCTGGCAAAGCGCCTCGCCGCTGAATTAACAGGATGGGTCCCCAGCTCTGCCCTGGCGGGCTGCGGGCCACAGGTGCGCCCCTCAGTGTCTCCGGCCAGCCTCCCGGTTAGTGGAGCCAGAGTGGAAAGACTAGTCCCCGCCCCACAGTCACAGAATGCAGAGAGAGGAACACGAAGTTATGCCTCCCTGCCGCTGCGCCCTACAGAGAGAAGGGCCGAGGGGAGAATCGAACTTGTCACGGAAATGTGGCGTTGGCCTCCTCTCCCTGACACCCGGTCACCGTGGAGGAGGAACTCCCGCCCGCTGGAGGGAATGGTCCCACTCTACCCCTCCCGCCCACTGCGTGCCCCTTTCCAACACGGTGACAGAACAGAGCAGATCCACAGGGAGATGTGAGGCTGCAGACGGCTGGGGACACCTGACGACCTGGCGCCAGGGAGGGCACCAAAGTGCAGCCACTGGCACCCCCGAGGCGGCCGCAGCTGAGTAGCTGCACCACAGCCGTTGACCGGAGGGTCCCACGGACACCCCAGAAGTGAATGGAGGCTGGGGATGTGGGCAGGGAGTAGGCACCGTCCCCCCCACCCCCAGGGTGACGCAGACAGGACTGCTCTGCAGCACAACAGACTCTCAGGAACTCGCTCTTATCAGATCAAACACAGACCACAGGAGCAGCAAGTTCCTCGGGGGCTGGGCATGGCTAGGCCGGCCCCACCCTGTCTGCCCTGGCCCCGGGAGGGGGGCTGGGCCCTTCTGGCAGAGAAGCAGCCGCAATGCAATGCACGGTCTTGCAGCTCTGGTGCAGCTCCGCCCAGTGTCCGGGTGACCTGGCCCCAGGGGGTGGCATCGGGAGCAGGGGACAGCAGCCCCACCCCAGCATGAGTGAGAGGGTTCTGCAGTGGGCTCTCTAGGCCAGCTTCAGGGGGTCACTGAGCCCCCTGAAATTACAGGCAAAGTCAGGGTATGTACACACATCTATACATTTACCTGGAAAACGAGTCCACGCTCTTCATCAGACACTCAAAAGGATCCGTGACCCCCCCCCACCCACACACACACACAAAAGTTAAGAACTACTGTTCTAGGAAACCCCTCCCCACAGGTAGTGGAGGGCAAGGCCCGACAAAACGGGACGCAGTGGGGTGGGACAGTGGGGTTGGCTGTGCAGAGATGGCTGGAACAGAAGAGAAGGATCATCAGGGAGAAGGGGGGGGGGTTCTGGGGCCTAAGGGCCCCTTCAATTATTTCCTAGTTTGCCCAAGAACTGGTTCTGCTGCCGTGGACGCCCCGGATGACTTCAGATCAAGCGTGCTCATCTCTGCCTCTCTGAGGGACCCACGCTGGTCCCCATCCTCCCAACGCCAGCTCTCCGGAGAGGGCAGGGGAGGCATGCACAGGCTGGCCAGGCCGCCTGACCCCGCGGGCAGGTGCTTTCCTCCGGGAGGGTTAACGAGAATAACACGGAGCGCTGGAGCGGCCACCAGCACCAGGGCCGGTGAAACATCCTGCCGGGAAACCCCTGCTTTCTGGCTGGCGGCGAGTCAGGCAGGAGTTAAACGCTCTCAGCTCTTGTAACCTGACCCCGAGGCAGCTGTGGGTTTTGCACACACACACACACACACACACACACACACACACACAAAACACCCATCCAGGCCTGCCTGTCTCAGAAAGGGCTAAAAGGCAGGTCATCTTTTCTAAAGGAGGCAGCCTCCAAAGTGGAGGATTCTAAAACCCCTCATCCAAGCTGCATTTGTAAATCGGGATCCAGCAGGAGACTGTATTCAGTCTTCCCCTACCAAAAGAAAAAAAAAAAAAAGAAGTCCTCCCAAACCCCTTCAAACCGGAGAGGGTTTCAGTTTCCATTTATTATCAGGAGGTTCTCTGCTCCCCCGCTCTCTCCATTCTCTTTCTCCAACCCTCCTGGAGAAATGACCTAATGAGCTCCCAGCAGGATGGGGATGGGACAGGGAGGGAAGGCAGGTCCCAGGCCCCTGGCTGGTCTGGGCAGGGCCGGCGGCCACACGGCTCACCACAGGCATGCACAAACTGTCCGCAGCTGTGCTAGCAAAGCTGGGCTTTGAAAGGCCCTTCCCCCTCCCCTGAGGTCATCATCTGCCCTCTCTAATCCGCCCTGATGCTGCCCTGCCTGGCATCTGCCTTTGTGCCCGGGCTGGGTCTGCCAGACCCTGCCTGCAGCTCCCGCTAAAGGTGGGCTCTCCCCCTGGGGCCCCAGGGCCCCTCCAGGCTCATCTCCTGGCCCCGGAGGTGGAGGGCTCCCAAAGCTTGTTTGTTACAAGAGGGAGACAGCGGCCACTCAGCTCAAGCCCCCAAGGGTGGGAGGGGGTGGTCAAGGCACCAGAGGCCCCCAGGAGGCCCGAAGCCAGGGTGTGTGGGGAGAGCAGCACTTCCCAAAGCTCGGTGCTGGCTCCCTGCCACCTGGCTCGCCTCCCCGAACAAAGAGTTCCTCCTTCTGGGGAGGCTCTAAAGCCCCAGCCTTTGCATCACCGGGTAGCTGGCTGCCTGCTCCAGGGAGGGGCTGCTTAAAGACGCTGAATTTGGCAGTTACAGGTGGGCATCGCTCAGTGGCCCCAGCCCCGGCTCTCAGCACGCGAGAGGCGGAGGGGCTGCTCTCCCCGCTCTGTGCAAACTGGACTAGGGCGTGGCCTGGCGGCTACCTGCCCGGCTCCCCAGCTGTCACCCGGCAGCTGAAAGTCTTCCTGGCACATCGGAGCAGCTTCTCCGGACATTCTCAGCCGTAGTCATCTGCAGTCATCTGCCAGGTGACTTATAAAAATTCCAGCGAAGCCCCGGCACTTTCTGAGCTGTCTCTTGTTTAGCCGCAGCACTCTGAGAGAATCCTTTACAGCTGCTGGATTTGGGGTTGCTTTTGTATTCCTTTTTGTCCCAATTACCAAAAAGGTCATGTGCCACCCCTACCTCCAGCTCAGCCACCACCCCCACCTCCTCCACAGCAGCTGGGAGCACTGTACAAGGAGCGCGAGGCTGCGGGCCCACCCTGTGAGAGCTTGCACAGCCACCCCGACAGCCACCCAGGGCCCCAAAGCTTCTGCAGGTGGCGACGTGCGGGGGGGGGAGACGGGGGGCACTTTAATGCCCATGCACTGTCCCCAAATAGTAAGGCCCAAAGGATTTGACACTCCCTCTTGTTTAGATACTGCCTACTTAGAGAGCGTGAATTCCCAGAGTTCCAGGCCAACATTACCTTCGAGATGTAGGTCAGCTGCAAAGATCCGACGGCTCCTGCCCCGACTGCCAGGTTCTGAAAGACACACGTGTTTCACCTTAAGAAGGATGCTGCGTGAGGCCGTGGAAACAGCGCCGAGAGACAGAAGGCCCAGATTCCAGCTCTGTCTGTGCCATTCTCCAGCCGGCAACCTTGAGCAAGCCCCTTAACCATTCTCCAGCCCACAGTCCTCACCTGTAAAACGGTGATGATAATTCCCGGAAAGTAATTCAGGACTCCTGTTGGAAGCCTGTGGCGTTAACATCACCTCTAGCCTTATTTGCTATGGAGAGGTGTTCTCCTACAGTGCTTAAAAGTCTGTGCCCCACTGGGAATAACACTGAGCCTCAGGTTTCCTTTCTGTAAAAACAGGGATAATAAAAAGTACTCACCTCCTAACACAGACGAGCTAATACATTTAAGAGCACTTGGAATTGCCCCAGGTACACAGAAGACTCTCAACAAGTGTTAGTTATTATATGTTTTCTGCGCTGAGATCTCACTGATTTTGTTTTAAGCCACTTCAAAATTCTTTTCATACTACATAGGGTACAAACTCACACAGTATACAAATAAAAGAAATATATCTGTTCAGCCTACTTCACAGCATTGTGTACAATGTCCGTACACAATCGAACACTAAGTATGTACTGTTAAAAGGCACCATGTCTGGCAACATATTCCAACATATTCCAACATATTCTTGGCATAAGCTCTTTGGCTTTCTAATTTCTCCATTGTCAGGAATGAAGCAATGAAGACACAGGGACTGTCACATACCAAAGGAAGAGTCAAGGTTAGAAATCACAGCTCTGGAGTTCCCAATGTCTACCTTGGAAAATCCACTCCCTCAAGAACCTGGGACTCTTTTCATAGCTCCTGGTGACCCTCTAAACTGTTGCCAAAAGCCTCAAAGAAAAAACCTTTGAAGCTCCCAGCACCTGGAGTCATCCCAAGGCGATTAAAAGAAGGTGAATCTTAGACAAAGGGAATTTAATTTACCCAAAGATTAGCGGTGAAACGACCCGTTATATTCCAGGAGATGGCCTTCAGAAATGTCTCAGATGACAGGGAAGAGTCCTTCTAGCCCCAGTTATCTAAGTAAACATGCATTATTTGAAGCAAATCCAAGCAAGAAAGTGGATCCAGGGATCATACCACAAAAAAAGGATTCTCAGAACCCTGGGATTTTGGAGTGGGAGACCCTGAGAAAGGACCGCACTTCACCTGCCTCCCTTTGCGGGCGGTAAACCGAAAAGCCGGCTCCGAGTAGCCAGATTAGCATCTGCGCTGTGGATGATCTGATTTATACTTTTATTTATGCAATTTTCTCAACGGCAAAGTAACTGCTTTTTTAATTTTTTTTTTAGAAACCTCTATTGGGTTAGGGAGGGAACAAGCCTTCCAGCCCCAAAATCAGAGTCTGGGGAGGGGAGAGTCCCCCAGAGGGCGGGAGTGACTAACGCTGCCCAGGAAGGGGGGCAGGAGCCACTCTGGGCGCTGACTCAGCTCTGCTCAGACTCGGGCTGCCCGGAGTCCCCCTCTGCAGGGCCTCATGGGAGGCGAGGGCTCCAGGGACATGAGGAGACGACACAAGCCTCCGCTGGGGACCCAGCAACTGCCACCACACCCCCCTCCACCCCGTTCCCCAATTGAGCAAAGTCACTTGTGAGTGACGGGATCTGTCCAAGGCCACGTAATTGGTGGCACAGCCTGAGCCTAAGCTCAAGTCCCCCGACTTCCAGGCCGACGGGCTAGAAGCAGCACGCTGTAGTTTAAAAGCCTGAGCTGCTGGAATCCCGGCTGTGACCGCAGGGGAGCTTCTTTACCTATAAAATGGAGATGGTGAGCCCTATTTGTAGGGCGGTTGGGAGGATTAGGCGGAAACACTGGAGCGAGGCTGGCGTGTGGTGCAGTTCCTGGCCCCCTCCCGCAGCGCTAATTACAAGATGCAAATGCCAAGTCTCAGAGCTGCCCTTGCACAACTCCTCACCCTAAACCGCAGCCCGGAGGCCTCCAGAGCCCAATCCTGAATTATGAGTGATGAAGTGGCATTCGGGGACCATGCAGACACTAACCACTCATAATGACAGATAGGAACCGATCAGATTGCAACTACTACGTCATGCCCCCACCCGCCCCTCCAGGGCCGCTCCACCCTCAGTCCCAGCCTCCCCAGCAGCTGGCCCTGCTCAGAGAGGAAGACAGAGAGCAGCAGCTCTGCGGGCCCAGTTACCCCAGGGGTCTGCTCCTGGGCTCAAGGACACCTCCTCTCCACCCCAGAAGCCAGGAAAACATGACAAATGTCTGAAAAGGCTGCTTTCCCCACCCCCCACCCCCACCTTCCTCCCCACCCAGGGGGAAATGGATGACACAGGAGAAAACAGCCCTGGGATCTCTGAAGCTTGATTCAAAGTGATGCCCAGTGTCCACCCCAATTACTGGACCTAGAAGATTAACGGTGACAGCTGGCTGCCGGGGTGGCATACCAGCAGCCCCCGGGCAGACGCTTCCTGATCAAGGAAGAATGCGCCAACACGCCTGAGCTGAGGGCCTCTGCAGCAGCCAGGTGTCGGGACACCAAGAAACAGCAGGGAGGCAGGGTGCTCTTGCGAGGCCTCCCTGGCCGCGGCTCGGGCTCCTCTAGGGAAAGGACAAACTCAGGACCCTGCTCCAGGAAGCCTCCTCCACCGACTCCAGCCTGTTCCGACTTCCTCTCTCTCTCTCTGCATTCACTGCCAGTTCCTTCTACAACGTCAAACACTGAATCAGAATTGAGTGGAATGTGGCAGGAACGTGCACATTTTCAAAACACTCCCAACGGATCCCTCAACAGGCCCACATTTAAGGGTGGCTGGCCTAGAGGAGAAAGCCTGGCCCTGGACTCTGTGTGGCAGTAGATTTTCCTGTGAGTTTAGGTCTCTTCTTACTAGATGGTAAGCGTAGGCAGGGCATGAGCAAACCTTACTGTTTTGCATAGTGGACTTCTTAAGTTTTAAATGAAAACAATATTTGCTTGGTGGTTAAGTTCCCAACCAGTCCAACAAAAAGCCCGCTGAGCTCACAAAGTGTGGAAGACTGGTACCAGTTTGGTCCACCACCAGGAAATGACGTTTCTCCAGGACATCGCCCAGGTCCCAACTTGGGTGTCAGCTCAGTCCCCACTGCCTGGGCAGGGCCCCTGTGGGACAAGAACCAGAAGAGGGTGCAATACGCAGGAAAGGACTGAGCCACACTGAAAAGGGAGACAAAGCCTTGGGGACAGAGAGTTTGAGACACAGGCTGGGGGGAGAGTGGCAGAAAGCATTGTGACGAGGGGGTCTGAGTAGATTTGCAGCCAAGACAGAGGTCCGTAGGAAGCTCTGGAAGGCTGCTTAGGTGAGTCATCACCCGGGGAGATTTTTAAACACACCATGCTTCATCCCCAGGGTTTTACCTGGTGTGGGATGGCAACCCCGCGCCCCAGTACGCTTTCAGAGTTCACGGGTGATGCCAGGTCGGAGGACACCGCGGCAGGCACCGGCTGGTCCTGCTGACTCTGCCCTGGAGACAGAGCGGCTGGCGAGAGAAGGGCCCAGGCCGGCCAGCGGCCCACAGAGCGACCCCAGTTGCTGCCCCAGCAGCGAGCACAGGGGAGGAAGGACGGGATGGGGGGAGCAGGAAGAGGGAATGGAGATTCCGCGCTGTGTGGCTGGCAGCAGCCTTCCCACGTGAAGATACCTGGGAGTCAGGAGTGGCCTGTACATTGCTCAGACTTCTAAGTTGCCTGGAACAACGTGGGGCACGGGGCAGGCTCCTGAGACATGACGGACGGGTTCATGAAGACACTGCCGACGCCCTGCTTGGTGCACAAGAGCTCTCCTGCCACTGAGGAGTTCAAAGGAGCTGACTCCCCATGAGGGGAAAGTGGAGGGCTTATTCTCCTCCATCACCGAGGAAGGAGGTGAGGTGCCCTACAGAGATGTGACACACCTCCCACATTAAGCCTTTTTCTAGAAACAGGAGTATTTCTTGTTAACGGAGAATTTTACCCACGTGACCTCTTCTCCCTCTCCCCTCTTCTAGCAAGAGCAGGGAAGAGCAGAGAAGTGACCGAAGACCCAACTGCAGAGGCGCAGGGTCACAGAGGGTCAGCACTCAAGGTCCCGCGGATACCTGTGCACTCACCACACGAGTCCTCTAGGGCTCAGCTGGGGAAGTGACTTCCCCAAGGAGCCAAACGAAGACATCAATCCGGTGTTTTGGCAAAGCGCAGCCTGAGCCAGGAGAAAGGAACCCGCTGTCATGCTGTCAAGATGCTAGGTACTTTCGCACTTTGTGGCTTCGCCCTAACAATCCCATTGCACAGACAAGAAACTAAGGATCAAGCAGGTCCGGTGTCAGCCGAGGAGTCCAGCCAGTATTCCAACCCAACCCTTCCTGAATTCCCCAATCCCAGGCTCTTTCCTCTAGGCCATGTCACCTCCCAGGAGCCATTATCTAAGAGTCAATTATCAATCAAAGGTAAATACAAGAGCAGGACCAGCAGGGTGCTGTCCTCGCCCAAGCTGGGCAGGGCAGGAACTGGTCCAACTGGCTCTGGGGTGCCAAACTCCAGGAGACCAGGGATTCAGAGAGTGGGAGGGGAGAAGGAAGGAGAGATGCTGGTGCCTTCTCACCTTCTCCTACAGCCCCTGGTGTCTGGCAGAGGGTCAGGTCAACAGCAGCTAGCGTGAGAAGGAGGTGAGGAGGAGGGAGGATGTACCGGGCAGTCCCCGAGCCAGGGCATGAGCCGACACGGCTGCCCCATGAGCCGAAGCCACAGCCCAAACCACCCAAAGCCAGGGCCGTCCAGACTCACAGAAAAGAACCTGCCTAAGGAGAACGGTGCGAGAAGACTGGAGCAGACGGGCAACACAGCTTCTGCCCCACATTCCAGAGCCCTCACCCTCGCACGAGAGACTAACAAAAAGGGAAGTCACCAAGCTGTGCCCAGGCATCAGCTGACCTGGGCAGTGGCTCTACCTGCTGCTCTGGTGTCAGACTCATCTCCTCCCTCCTACCCTGCAGGTCCACGTGCTCACACCAGCTTGGGGAAACATGGCGCGCTGACAGCTACTGTCCCCATTCTTCAGTTCAAAGCAGGCATTTACGCTTTCCCTCCACAGAGTCACTGCTGCGGCATGAACGGCTGTGCCGGTTCCGTGCTTTCGTTCTGTTACCCAGATGTCTATTATTTCGTGCTGGCCGGTGCCAGCACCTGCTTTGGGCAGGAAGACCTTCATGATGTGCAAGTCTCCCGGCCACCACCTTCCCCGCTCCCTTTACTGTCCCTTTTCCAACTCTGGTAACACAGACTTAACGACCAGATCAAAGCCCTGGGCTCCAGATAATCTCCTGGATATGTCTGGGTCCCAAGACTCTGACAGTTGGCCACCTGAATGGTTCCAAACCCTTAAGCTCGCTCGACAAGCCAACTCCTTCACCCCACTCTCCCACCCAGCCTCCTCCACGCATGCCTCGAACTCCACATGTCATTTCTTCCAATCAGTCCCCCTCCCACCTGCGCCACCTCCCCCCCAACCAGTCCACCAATGATTCTTCCTTCATATGGCCTTTAAACCCGCCCCTTCCTCTCCACCCCACCATACCACCACCCGGAGACAGCAGGACACTCTGCGGGAAATCCCCGGCTGTCTCTCCAGCTCTCCCCGCCTCCCCATCCATCCCAATGGCACTGCCTGAACGAACTTTCTAAACAAGTAACACCTGTAGCACTTTAGAGCTCATCACTTCCACATACATCACCTTGCTTAATCTTCCCGGGGAGGATGTTGCAGCAGATTGAGATAATTGTTATCATTACCATACATTATATAGATAAGGACGGGAGGCTCAAAAATGGATGTTACTTCAATTAATGTATTCATCATGCAGTCCTATGGTCAGCTGATAGAACTCATAAAAAGGGGCTCTGAAACACAATCTAACATGCAGTCCCTCTCCTAACCATACAATAGCCTGTTTTGCCTTAGGGACACAATTTCAACAGTAAAAGGCAGTCTTGTGTATATAATCAGACATATAATTAGGGAGATGCATATAATAGATACATTAAACAAATATTGAAGGTTAAAATCTAAAGCAAAATATGACAACAACATAACCGAGACAAGCTTTAAGAAAACTTACAAGAGTCACCCCCTCATGGTTTTGTAATAGTAAGGCCCCTGCTAAGTTTCATAGCTTCCATCTCTTCAGCTGTTTGAATTTTAATACTGGGAGCAGTGCTAACTATTAACAAGTTTGTCCCAAAGTGCTTCTTAGTTTTTAATTTTAATTTAGGCAAAGTACATCCTGTTATAAAGACAAGAATTGCTTTAAAAATATATAAGATGACTATAGAAAACACATAAAACAAAACTGCACTTTAATATTTTATGTTAACTCTCAAAAAGTCCACACATAATTTTAATTCTAAAACCTTTCGAATAATAATTTTACGCTTCACGGAATTTGCATTTGGTAAAAGTGCAGGTCTGTGGCTCGTAATTTTTGAGGAGATTTTTTTTCCCCTATGGAAATATAGACAAAAGCGCATTAGCAGTTCTACGTAATGCTTGAAATCACGTGTCTACATGGACAGTCAACATGCCAATTACACTAAATCCATGAATTAAAATCACTTTGTCCAAACAATTGGCAAAAGTTATGATGATGCTTGTATATGCAGAGACTATCTGTGGACAGACATTCAAGAAACTGGCAACACTGGTGGCCCCTGTGAGGGGGCCATGCAGTGGGTGCAGGAGAGGGAGGGACAAAGTCGTCACTATGTCCACTTTCCTACATTTTGAATTTTGCACCATGTGCATCTGTTGCCCATTTTTAAAAGAAAGTGATTTACATTTTGGCATTTTGACAGGTTAAGTGTATGATGCAAAAATCTTTTAAATATTGCTGGGTTTCAACCAAACTTCACTTAGGGAGGTTTCTGACACCAGAAAATGAAATTTTTAAATTTTTCCCCCTTATCTCAATTTCATTTACATGGCAAGAAAATGTAATTAAACACACACACACACCATTTTTTCCCTAGCCTTTAAGACAACAGTACTGTCCATTAAACATTATACGTTAATAAAATCTCCTT